GGGGAGGGCAGGATATAAATAAATAAATAATATTATTATTACCTTGCCACGCTGCTACTGCTGCCACCACTGCTGAAAAGAAGTAGAAGAGCACTGGGAGAGCAAGGACACATAGCCGAATCCAGGCCCAACCCAAGCCTACTCCACAGTGGCTAGTGCTCCAAGAGAGCATGCCGGGGCCCAGAGGAAGGCAGCGCAACAGAGGAGACCACAGAAGAGAAGATATTACTTCTTAATTTTTTATTAAAAATTAACTTTTTAAAAATAACTTTTTTTTCTCTTTTCAAAAAAAAAAGTGTCCCCGGATTCTTTGAAAAAAATCTGGTAACCTTATCATAAGAGAACTTGGATCATTTCAGGTATGCTTCAAACGGTACTGGATTACCCAATAAGCAGATTAAACACACACACTCAGGGCAGGAGCAAAATAAGGGCAACCCCATTTTGGGTGGGAAGAATTTGACATTTGTTATTTCAGAAGAAATAGTCATCATTTTCTGATGCTGATGATTAAGAACTGTACATCAGAATACTCTTTTCTTCACCTGGGGGGAAAAAACTCCTCAGAGAGCAACCATGTGGCCAACTTGATTCACTTTCCGTACTCTATATGGAATCAGACATGTTTTGTCAAGTGACTTCGATGAACTTATCTGGAATTTGGAAATCAGAAAACTGAGAAAAAAGAAGCTATTTCAGTTGTAGCATACATGTAAGTTCTGTGTGATTTCAAATAAAGCTTTTTTATTTTAGTGTTTAGTTTTTATTTTGGACTACCTGTCTGCAGGGGGCACTATAATCTCTTCAGTGCTGAGAAGCTCTCAAGGTCTTAATCCAGCTCTGGCTTCAAAATGCAGTGTCTCAGGAATGTTTAAACCGTTCCTCATCTCCAGTTGCACAGCAAAGCAGCCCAGCCCTAAGACAGCTTGTTTATGTCTTACTTTAACCATCATATTAAACTAAATACAGGCCTTTGGAAGCAACAAATCCTGCATGCTACATGCTGGAGGGAGCCATTTCAAAGGGCTATAAACACAGCCGCACAGTATGACAAACAATCTTTATTTACATTCCTACCTACTCTTCGACGATAGATGGCAGAAAACCTCAGCACCATTTGCGTGATCCAGCAAGACTCTTTTTATGCGTTAACTTTTTGGTTTTTTTAAAGCAAGAGAGATCTGGTCAGAGAAAAGACCGTAACTCAGTGGCAAAGCATCTGCTTACATGGAGAAGAGCCCAGGGTTTTTTAAATGTTTTTATTAGCAATTTCAACATAACAACATATCAAAACATATCATATTCATTATTTTTCCCCCTTTCCCCCCCCTCAAACCCTCCTCCCCCCCCAAGACTTCCCTCAGCTCCTCTCTCTGATTTCTCAACCCATATTATTCTCTGCATGTTATAAAATTACAGTGGTACCTCGAGTTACATACGCTTCAGGTTACACACTCCGCTAACCCAGAAATAGTGCTTCAGGTTAAGAACCTTGTTTCAGGATAAGAACAGAAATCAGGTTCCGGCGGCGCGGCAGCAGCAGGAGGCCCCATTAGCTAAAGTGGTGCTTCAGGTTAAGAACAATTTCAGGTTAAGAACAGACCTCCGGAACGAATTAAGTACTTAACCCGAGGTACCACTGTATACAATGTGGCGTAGTGGTTAAGAGCGATAGACTCGTAATCTGGGGAACCGGGTTCGCGTCTCCGCTCCTCCACATGCAGCTGCTGGGTGACCTTGGGCCAGTCACACTTCTTTGAAGTCTCTCAGCCCCACTCACCTCACAGAGTGTTTGTTGATGGGGAGGAAGGGAAAGGAGAATGTTAGCCGCTTTGAGACTCCTTAAAGGGAGTTAAAGCAGGGATATCAAATCCAAATTATTCTTCTTCTTCTACAAATCCTCACATTATCTGTCTACCATGTTATCAATCAATAAATAAGTGTATGTTTATTCAAAACCTGCCAAGGAGTCCAATTCATTTCGTTGTCTTTTTAACTAATTTGTGAAAAGTTCCCATTCTTCTTTAAAGTCACAGTTGTCCTTAGCTGGCAGTTTGTATGTCAATTTGGCCAGTTCTGCATAGTTCATCAATTTCTCTTGCCACTGTTCTTTTGTCGGGGTTTCCTCATTCTTCCATCCTTGTGCTATCAAGACTCTTGCCGCTGTTGTTGCATACATAAATAAATTCTTTGTTTCAGAAGACTCCAGGTTTAATCCCCAGAATCTTCAGGTAAGGCTGGGACAGAACCCTGCCTGAAACCTTAGAGAGTCACTGCCAATCAGTGTAGACAATACTGAGCTAGGTGGATCAATGGTCATACTAGGAATAAGTCATCTACTGCCACCTAGTGAGGGTCTCCCTGCATTCTGCCCTACCAGTTCCACTGGACAGCAGCCAGCAATGGTTGTATGGGGGGGGGGCTTTTCACAGGACTTTTCTCTTGATCCTGTAGCCCGAGACCTCCATGTTCAATCCAAAAGTCACGATTGCGGGGAGATAAAGGGGGAAGTGCAACTAGGAACGGACTCCTGGTTAATGACCCTGAATATAATGTCACCGAATTTGTGGAAAACAAGTTTCATTATAGCTATGATAAGAAGTTTCCTGTTGCATCACAGCTATTGCATCAGACCAGCACAAGGCTTTCTTCCCAGAAGTGTTGCTCAGAAGCTTCTGGAACAGAGAAGGGGAATTTTTGTCCCTTGGCTTGTTGTTGGACTCTGACTCTCCTCATCTCTGATAAGAGGTGGAATTCAACACCACCTGGAGGACCACCAGAGATTTCCCATCCCTTCTTCTAGAAGGTGACAAGCAGGGCATAAAGGCAAATCCCATCCCTCACTGTCGCCCCCACTGCAATTGGTCTTCTAAGATATTGCGCCCCTAAGCATGGAGGTTCCTTGTTGCCATTGCTGCTAATTTATGTCTGCATGCATTGATTTATAATTGCTTTGCCCAGTTCTTCAGCCAAAAACGGCTCCCAGAGCAGCTCACAGGTAAATTTCATAAAAGCCAAACAAAGCAATCTCAGCCCTCAGGCTTACGATCTAAAAGGCACAAAAGGAAAAGCAATGGGGAGGGAGGAGGGAAACTCAGCATTAGTTCTCGAAAGCTCTCCAGGTGTTCTTTTATTTATATACTGCAATCTCTGGGTGGTTCACGACAACAAAACGTAAAGCAATACCTGGCTAGTCAGGAAAAAAAGAAAAAAGCTTCAAGCAGCCACATAGACCTGTCAACATAAAATAACAAAAGTATCCAAGGGAAAACTGAAATTAAAAGTGAGCATGCCTGAAACTTTGCTGGAAGAAGGTCCCACAGCACAGGGCCAGCAGCCCCAAATCTCCGACTTCTGGTTTAACAATTGATTCCTTTCGCGGGGAAAACAGAGCTGTCCCAAGACATTTTGGCACCTGAGGCAAACTGCAAAAATGGGAGGAAGGGGGAATGAAGATCTGCACCAGGAACAAGGGAGGGAATCAAATCAACAATGAGAAGGGTTGGGGTGAAGGAACAAAGGGCTGGGAGGATCCCAGCAGGAGCTCCTATTTGCCAAGAGGCTGATGTGGAGGCAACATTGGGGAGGGACTGCTGAGGAGGCAGCAAGTCCAGGCCGACCCTGTCAGGGGGAATTGTAGGAGCCGAGTCCCTTTGCCCCCCCCAAAAAAAAATATATTTCGGGGGCCACCCCCTCCCAAAGTTGAAGGGAATTCCCATTCAAATGGTGGTGGGTGCCATATTTTATTCAAGTTGGCATCCCTGCTGGGAATTGTAGCTGTGGGAGGGGAGAATCAGTCTCCAAAGAACTCTCAATGCCCTTAATAAACTGGGGGGGGGGGGCCTTTGGGAGAAACCAATGCCTGTTTAAAGTGGTAAAATAGTGCTTTACATGTACAGTGTGACCGTGACCCAAGTTTCTCATTTCTCCAAACTTAAGTTCAGTTCTCCATATTTCTGCAGCAATTAGTAGTTTCTTTTTTCCAAAACCTGTGTGTGTGTGTGTGAAATCGAGAAAGAGATAGCCACACCGGCAGCATATTTCTTCTTTCTCGTATCCAAAAATGCTCTGCCCTCACCGGTCCTGGAAGGATCCTTTTAAAAAGTCCCATATGCTCAGAGACTTTGCGCCTGTTCATTGGGGGAGATAGGAAGCCCAGAGCACTTGTTCTTTAGGTGTCCCTTTTATGAAGAGGCACGTAGTGAGACCATTGATCCCCTGCTGGTGAGGCTCACTGGCCTCCTGGAAAAGCAAAAATTAGACCTTTTCCTGTTAGGCAAAGATCATAAGATGACCCGGATGGTCGCCAGATTCTGTGTACAGATCTGCAGGTACAGACCATCCCCTGACTCAAACTAGTTCGTTAAGAAAATCCCCAAACTCGGTTCCATGGGTGACTCTGGGTCATCTCTCTGCAGTAGCTTATCTTAAAGTTTTAAGCTTATCACATTTATAAATTTTAAATTTATTGTTGTACATTGTTCTAAATATTTGGTTTCCTTCTGGGATTGTACCCCCAAGTGTGTTTTATAAGCTGGTCTCCGACCGTAATAAATTTTCTACCTACCTAACTACCTACCTATCTATCTATCTATCTGTATATATACCAGCATTTCAGTGTTAATTTCTCTCAATAAACACATTTTGACTAATGCACATATTTCTACAAGCAATTTCCCCCAACGTATAATGCAGTTTTGTATATCATTTTCACTGAAACATGCGTTTTTAGGCACCTCTCACCCTAATATATGGATATCGTTTGGTTGGAGAAATGCTTTGCAAAATCTGGAGAAGTGTATATTGGTTTGAGAAGTACAGTTTAGGTAGTTCTGCATTAAAATGCAGAGAAAAATTTATTTATCCTCCATTCCTAGGGAAGGATAAGGGGATATCAAATGCTCCCTGGCTTTTCTACATTCGGTATCAATCGGCTGGGGTTATTCATTATCTAATTCCTCATTCCAAACACCCACACATTTTGCAGGGTGGGAGGGAGGACCACGGTGCCCAGTTGTTTTGTCCAAGGGCAGAGCATTGCACACAGCTCCCCTAAAGCAAGAGAGCCAAACAGATCAGCCTAGGTTATAGAGCAAGGACTCTTCTGAAAGAATATTCAGAGCAGTGGGTCTGGTACCACAACAGGAGGAGGGGAAAGGGGAGGGGAAAGGACTGGAGGTGCAACCGACCGAGGAGAGACGGGGACTGCAGGTCACGCAGCAGACAACCCAAGAAGCAGAGATACCGAGAGAAAAGGAAGAGAGACTTCTCTAGCAGAACAGCAAGCCAGTGGAGAAAGGAGAGTCAGACCTGCACCATGAGTGACATCAAATATGAGAGGATGAACGAAAATGCTCTGCACATGGATAATCCACCGCCCTACTCTGCAAAGAACGAGGAGCCTGGTCCTTCTGCTGGGATGGCACCCACCACGGGCAGCAGAGGAGCTCCCGCTATGCCGCACCAGTACACCCCTTACTATGGTCCAGCCAGCATAGCACAAACTTCACAAACCATTGTCATCAGTTCCGTGCAGCCCAGCCGTGAACCGGATTACCTGGCCTACTCCATCTTCACCATGCTCTGCTGTTGCCTCCCCTTGGGTGTTGCTGCCCTTGTGTACTCGATTCAGGTGAGTGGGAGCCGAGTGGGTGTTTGAGAGAGGGCTGGGGGGACCTTAAAGGGCAGGGACAGCTGCCTGTGCTGACATCTAAGGCCCCATCTGCACCATACACTTAAAACAGTATCATACCACTTTAAACAGTCGTGGCTTCCCGCTCCCCCAAAGAATCCTGGGGACTGTAACTTCTTAAGGGTGCTATTTTTCTAGAAAAAGAGGCGCTGGAAATCACCACGAATGTCTCCCTTGTTCTCTTATGAAGGCAATGGCACCCACCTGAGAGGTGCCAGAATTCGGTTCTGGTGAGATCCAGCTTGGGGGGAAAAACCCTGGTGCTGAGAGTTGTGAAGAGTCCCCTAGTTAGAGCTAAAACAGGGCCTTAGCTACAGGGGAGCAAGCCGGGTATTTTGCCCTGTGTGAACCCTCGAGGGGAAGCCCCCGCTCAGTTTTCCTCTGAGACAATCTAGGCTACTCTGAGAGGAACTGGGTGGGGGCTTCCCCCTTGAAGGTTCACACAGGGCAAAATACCCAGCTAGCTCCCCTGTGGCTAAGGGCTCTGAGACAATCTAGGCCAGGCATAGGCAAACTCAAACCTCCAGATGTTTGGGGACTACAATTCCCATCATCCCTGACCACTGGTCCTGTTAGCTAGGGATGATAGGAGTTGTAGTCCCAAAACATCTGGAGGGCCAAGTTTGCCTATGCCTGATCTAGGCTGAGGACACCGTACCATCACCTGTGTTGAAGCAAAATGCTGTTGCCAGTATAGCTGGATTCTATACACTGAAATACGACGGTGCTGTCTGGCCCACAGGCAGCAAAATGTCTATGCCTAGCCCTGGTAGCTGAGACAATATGTTGCAGCAAAACAAAGAGAGAAGCTCGTGGAAGCTTAAAGTCAAGCACATTTATGGTGGCAACTGTTTTTATGGAACAGAGCCCCCCTCTGTGTTTTATCTGAGCTGTGGCATGCCACCCATGAATCCATAACAGCCTAAAAAAAGCCTGCTGGGTCAGGCCAGTGGCCCTTCTAGTCCAGAATCCTGTTCTCACTGTGGCCAACCAGATGCGCACTAGAAGCTTGCAAGCAGGACAAGAGCACAGCAGCCCTCTCCCCAGTTGGAATTTCCAGCAACAATTAGTGACTATGGCTGGTTATTGTGGCTAGTAGCCACTATTAAGTCTTAACCACCTTAAAATCCTCTTTTAAAGCCATCCAAGCCATCACTAGGGACGTGGGTGGCGCTAGGGACGCGGGTGGCATTGTGGGTAAAACCTCAGCGCCTAGGACTTGCCGACCGTATGGTCGGCGGTTCGGATCCCCACGGTGGGGTGAGCTTCCGTCGTTCGGTCCCAGCTCCTGCCCACCTAGCAGTTCGAAAGCACCCCTAAGTGCAAGTAGATAAATAGGTACCGCTTTATAGCGGGAAGGTAAACGGCGTTTCCGTGCGCTGCGCTGGTGCTGGCTCACTAGAGCAGCTTCGTCACGCTGGCCACATGGCCCGGAAGTGTCTTCGGACAGCGCTGGCTCCCGGCTTCTTAAGCGAGATGAGCACGAAACCCCAGAGTCGGTCACGACTGGCCCGTACGGGCAGGGGTACCTTTACCTTTACCTAAGCCATCACTCCCTCTTGAGGGGGTGAATTCCATAGCTGGAACTATTTGCTGTGTGCAGCAGTGTTCTGAATGTTTCTTTTGTCTGGGTTTTGCTGATACGGTAAGTTACTGCATCTGGGAGTGTGGATAAATCAGAAAACATTGCATTTTGACAAGAGGCAATGTTTACCATGACAGTGCTGCATGTTACCACTGGACCAGATGATCATCTGGAACCTCCTGTCAAGCAGCAAGGAGAATTGAACCTCCGCCTTGTATCTTTGGTTGGGGAGATGGTTCTTCACTTGCCATGATGTTACAGTGGTCAGTTATGCCCCTGCAGACTAGGGCAAGTTACCACTTTGTACATGGGGGTCTGATTTCGCACTATGCCACACACATTCGGGAAGAGATAAGGGGTCAGTGTGCTCCTCCCCTGATCCAGTTTGTTCTCTTTCTCCCCAGACCCAAAACGCCAACCAAAATGGAAACTACATAAGCGCTCGACGAAACTCCAGGGTGGCACTCATATTGTCTCACACGGCACTCGGAGTGGGTCTTGGGTGCCTGATTATATACATCATCTTCTGGATGAATATTTCTCACCAGATAATTGAAGTGCCAACCATCAGCCCCTGAGGATACACAACGTTCATATGCTAAAAGTCATTCCCTGCCCAAGATGCCCAAGTCTGAGAAGTCCTCCTAAATTGACATCATGCTCTTTGAATCGTTCTGTAAAGTGGTATGTTCTGAGCTGACTCCCATACCCTTGTTCTAACTAGGGATAGATTTACAATGTCAAGCGATGAACATCATGTGTGATACCCAAAGATCTCAAACTCCTTCCAAGAGTATCTCTCCCCTCTCTCATTCTCCCACCCAGAGTTATTTCGATTTCGAGAGTCTTCTGGTCTTGTCCTGTTCCTCTTCACTGCTGATCATTCTTCCAACATTTCACAGATAATTGGGACATGCATGTAACACAACAGTTGTCAGAGCACACATTTCTACCCAAGCCCTATCCTTGACACCCATCCCATTCCCCATCGTCCTACTTCTTTGGCCTTATTCGTAAAAATTTTCAGAGACACCGTTGATGGAATCTTATAAATGCCATCTCCAACTCCTCGAAAGATTCCATCAACGGTGTCTCTGAAAAATTGTACACATCACTTGGGAAGACAGATGAACTAATATCAGTGTACTGGAAGAAGCAAAGATCACCAGTGTTGAAGCAATGATTCTTCAACATCAACTTCATTGGACTGGTCATGTTGTGTGGATGCCTGATGATCGTCTTCCAAAGCAACTACTCTATTCCAAACTTAAAAATGGAAAGCGTAATGCTGGTGGTCAACAAAAGAGGTTTAAGGACTGTCTCAAGGCAAATCTTTAAAAATGTAGTATGAACACCGACAACTGGGAAACATTGGCCTGCAAGCGCTCCAGTTGGGGAACAGCCTTTACCAAAGGCTTTGAAGACACTTGAACTCAGAATGCAAGGACAAATGTGCTAAGAGGAAGGCACACTTGGCAAATCCACACCGTGATCAGCTCCCACCCAGAAACCAATGTCCCCACTGTGGAAGGACGTGTGGATCCAGAATTGGCCTGTACAGTCACCTACGGACTGATTGTTAAAACTGTGTTTATGTAAGACAATCTTACTCGACTACGAGTGATCGCCAAAGAAGAAGAAGAAAAAGAAGAAGATCCTGCGATAACTTATCCCATATGTTTTTAATGCAAAGAAGGCACTTGTGAGATGCTTAGAGAGCTATCTGAGGCAAAATAAATAAAATATACAATGAGATCACCATGATTCTGTGTTGTGCGATGTTTTCACAAAACTGCTATTGGTTCCACATAGAGAAAGGACAGTGGGATAAATGTTCATTATCTGTCACATGCAGCTCTTTCTCCATTCTGCTGCAGTTCACCTTCTGCCCCAAAGTGTGTTATTCTAGGGTTGTTATATTTTGAAGAGCAAAAAAGAGGACAGACTGTGCCGGGAAAAGAGGTGTGTGGGTGCACCTCTTCCCTCAGCTTGGACTGTCAGCAGCCATGGCATGCAGAGCGTCCATGTGCCTCTTTCACCGGCTCAGGCTGGCAGCGGCAATAGCATGCAAGAGCAGCATGAGCCCAAGCCGCCCCAGCCCAAGCCACTGCCAAAAACAAAAAAAATCCCGGACATTTCCTTTAAAATGTACAAATCCACCCTGATGGGCATGTTGACCCCCAAAAGAGGACATGTCTGTGTTTTCCCAGACGTATGGCAGCCCTAGTTATTCGTCTTACTGTCCACTGTGGTGAAATTACATAAATTACTTACATTATGTTGTCATTAAGTCATTCCACCCCATTCATTTTGACGCAAAGAAAACACAACACAAATGGGGGGTGGGGAGAGGGGACGTAATTTGTAGATTGAAAGCAGCAACAACAGGGAACACTGACTTAACCTGCTAGAAAGGGGTTTCCATTACAGATATGGGGGCGAATGAGCCAACATTGTCCATTTCTGCTCTCATTTCTGTTTTCATCAGAATTCCCTGACATGCCTAATCATGACACCTTCATGGCAGATTCACTGACTTCAGCTGTGAAGGCAAAACAAAGCCATCATGCCTAACAGCCTTTGATAGCCCTCTCCTCCATGAAATTGTCTAATCCTCTTCTTTAAAGCCATCTAAGTTTGTGGCCATCCCAAGTTCCATAGCTGGACTAAGCACTGCATGAAGTACATTCTGTTATCTCTCCTTAATGAGCCAACTTTCAGCTTTATTGGAGATCCATGAGTTCTAGTGTAATGAGAGAGGGAGAAACCTCCAAACTTCAGCGGCTGTCGTTCAATCTAGACTGTCCTTATTCCGGGGGGGGGGGTCCAACAATCACATGGCAGCAGTTTTGATGCTCTTCTGCAATGAACCCACTTCCCCCAATAATCAGACTTTTTGCAATACAGGAAGAAATGAGGTAATGCACTGCAACGTCACCTAACCTTTCGCCATACAAATAAAAGCATGCACCATATAAATGTTCCATTAGCAGCTAATGACATCAACGTTCCCCTGCAATTGTTGTGCAAATATATCAGGGTGAATGGTGCAATAAACAGGTCATCTAGAAGCAGCAGTGGTCAAGGGTCACAGGAGGTCAAATACCCAAAATACCCATTACGCCCTGCTGCAGGAAAGTCCCAGCACAGTCTCTGTCTCCAGTGTCCCAGAGCCTCCCAAACAGCATGGGAGGGGTTTGGGGATTTTTTAAGCACCAAAAAGAGCTATTTTCACCATTTGTGTTGATTATAACCCATCAGAATGGAAAGAGGTGAGTTAGAAGTGGTTCCTAGGGTCACTCTGGAGAAGGTGTGTGGGAAGAAACATTTAAGGGACACTGAAAATACAAGGTGATTTCATTCAAGAGAACAGTGTGCAAGTTTTGTTCCATGCAGTGGAGCTTCAAGGAAGACACAACTTAAGTGGCTCTGAAAGAAGATATTGGAACATTCCAAATCATCTGCCCATGCACACACACAGGAAATAGGACCCCTAACTGAAAGGCAACACGTGGAGATCTGCATTGATCATGGTAATGCAACCCTAATTATTATTATTATTGCAGAAGTCTTAGAAGGGGCATGGCTGGGAGGGGAGGCTACAACGAAAGGACCCTCCATTTACGAACATGCCACTACTCTTCTGCCAGGAATCAACCTTTATCTCTATCTAAAAATGCAATCTGGCTTTCATTTTCTGAAACCTAGGCAATAATAATAATAATAATTTATTTATACCCCACCCATCTGGCTGGGTTTCCCCAGCCACTCTGGGCAGCTTCCAACAAAATATTAAAATACAATAGTCCATCAAACATTAAAAGCTTCCCTAAACAGGGCTGCCTTCAGATGTCTTCTAAAAGTCTGGTACAGTGGTACCTCGAGTTAAGTACTTAATTCGTTCCGGAGGTCTGTACTTAACCTGAAGAGAAGACTGATAGCCATCTTCAAGTGTCTGAAGGACTGTCATATGGAAAACACAGCAAGATTGTTTTCTGCTCCTCCAGAGGATTCAAATTGCAAGAAAGGATTCAAGTTACAGTGGTACCTCGGGTTAAGTACTTAATTCGTTCCGGAGGTCTGTACTTAACCTGAAACTGTTCTTAACGTGAAGTACCACTTTAGCTAATGGGGCGGGCCTCTGCTGCCGCACCGCCGGACCATGATTTCTGTTCTCATCCTGAAGCAAAGTTCTTAATCTGAAGCACCATTCTGGGTTAGCGGAATCTGTAACCTGAAGCGTATGTAACCCGAGGTACCACTGTAGTTGTTTTTCTCTTTGACATCTGGTGGGAGGGCGTTCCACAGGGCGGGTGCCACTACTGAGAAGGCCCTCTGCCTGGTTCCCTGTAACTTGGCTTCTCGCAGCGAGGGAACCGCCAGAAGGCCCTCAGCACTGTATGGGGGTGGACACGCTCCTTCCATTCAGAGCAGGAATAATGGGGGGGGGGGAGAGGTTTCTCACTTTCATGTATTTCCTAGCCATTCAGACCACCCATCAAAAATAATCCTATGGGTGGTTTTACCTTCACTCTGGATGAACTGGTGCTGAGGGTGGGGAAAAGAGAGATCAGCTTTCAAAACGTTGCAAAAAGTGAGGAGGGACAGTTGGGGAGATGAGTGAGCCGCTTGCACGGCTGTGATCTGAATTAAGATCGTGCAACACGCCAATCTCCCTGGGGCTGTCTTGGGAGCGAGGTGGTGAGTGCATTGCCTGCTGTGCGCGTGCTTGTGCGTTCTTACACGAATGTAAAGATGCGCAGTGCGCCCATTTCCACATGCGTTGCAAACCGATCTGTCTCCAGCTTCTGTGAGCCTCTCCTCCAGTTGGCTGCGCATCCTCCCTCTCCCCCCCCCCCACAACATCCCCACCGCTCCCAAGTGTGGGGTGGTAGGAGAAAAGGTTAGGGGAAAGTGGAATTTTCGGCGCCTTTCCCCGCTTTCTCCCTCCGTCCCCCTCGCCCGCTCCTGTTGCGCTTTTGCGCCCATCGGTAAAGGCCAGCGGGGCAGTCATTTATGCAACTAACCTAGGGATATCCCCAGTTCTCCTTCTCAACCCTAAATGCCCACTCTGTTTCTCCCCATCCTCGCCCTGCCTTCCCCAGCTTCTCTTATTGGGCTCCAGCGACAGGAAGCCACGGGGCCGCACAAGCCCCGCACCCATGGCTTCCTCTCTCTCTTGCTCACGCACCCCGACGTGGCGCCGGCAGGAGCTGGTCACGCAGCAGCGGGTGCTGTCCGTTCAGACTCCAGCTCTGCAAAAACGACGCATAAAAGGAAGGGCGGTGGCGGACACGGGTAAATGGGGGCCCTGTGCGACGCCAACACTGGACTTCGCCACCCCCCAAAGGCCTTTCCAAACTTTAGGAAGGAGGCACAAGCTTCTGACAGGGTCCTAAAGTCTCCCTGACCCGGATTTCAAAAGGCTCCCCCCTGGCTCAGCGCCCAGTTCGTGTCGCACAGCCCTAAACCCATTCTTACTAAAGGTTTATCCACACTCTGGAAAACTGGTTGTTTCAAGCTCAATCGGAGCAAACCGCAAAGCATGGAAAATCCGAACTGACCGAGCGCTAAAGTATGGGTTTTTGCTGGGAAGTGGGGGGGGAACCACACTTCAATGTGAAGATTTGAAAAGAGCTAGGAAAAAGTTAAGTGCGGATAAGCCTGAGAGCAGGGGTCAGCAAACTTTTTCAGCAGGGGGCCAGTCCACTGTCCCTCAGACCTTGTGGGGGACCAGAGTATATTTGGGGGGGGGATTCCTATGCCCCACAAATAACCCAGAGATGCATTTTAAATAAAAGGGCACATTCTACTCATGTAAAAACACACTGATTCCAGGACTGTCCGCGGGCCAGATTTAGAAGGCGATTGGGCCGGATCCGGCCCCCGGGCCTTAGTTTGCCTACATGGGCTACAGGAGCAGCCGCCACGGCTACAGCCCCTCCAACAGTCCCAGTTCCAGCACCGGCTTTAGGGCGCTGCAGACAGCTTCCCTGTGCTGGGGGTCCTTGCTTTGGTTTTTGTACCATATTGATCTGAGAATGTCTATGGTAGAAAATGAGATCTGAGTTGGGATAATGTTTTCTGATCTAACAAGCAGGACGAGTGATTGCTTAATAAACAGCTGCTGTCATCTTAATTTCCCCCATCAACTTTGTGCAAACAAATCAGGATGGGTGGCCAATAAGCGAGTCAGCTGGAAGCAACATTTATCTCTTTCTCAAAAGGCAATCTGTCCTTTGTTTGCTGAAACCTGGGCTACAACGTGTTCCCAGTCAGGAGTACTTGGAGATAAGATTGGTGGACAGAGAGAGGCATCCCTCTTTCATGCATTTCCTAGCCATTTGAAAAACTACTCATTGAGAGTGACCAGCCGGTCCCCAAAACAAAAGGAAGGTTTTTGGTAATTCTGCCAGGACTACTAAAGCAATTTCCAGCACCAGACCTGGTTCCAACAACCAATTTTTGCCTCAGTTTCTGACTTTGCGATAACATAAAATATGGAAGCATGTGCCCATTTGCAGCTTTGAAATGGTGTGTCCATTCAGTCACACAGAAAATATGAGGAAAGTGAAGGCCACACTCAGTATTAATCTGACTGCTTTGGGTTACCAATTTCCTCATTCCTAGCCCTTCATACTTCTGGGCTGGAACACCTGGTGGAGCTGCTGTTATATTCTTCCACAGCCAGAGCCCAGACTAGGGGTCACTTGAGCAGAGAAGCCGGCAATGTAAAGCCAGCTCCCAGACAAAAAAAAAAGACCGAAGTTTGCAGAAAGAGGAAGAGGGGAGGGGAGGGGGAGAAGGGCTGGAGGGGGCGGCCGAGGGGAGGAAGCGTAAAGCACCAGCAGCTAATCACAGACAGCTGAGGAGGAGCAGAGCGAAAGACTTTAGAGGCTGCGTTCAGGGAACACCAAAAAGGAAAAGGAGAGCAGGCCGTTCACCATGAGCAACTACGAGAGGCTGAAAGAGGAACCCATCACTCAGGATCCACCTCCTTACTCTGACAAAGACTCCCATGAAGACCCTGAGCCAGCTAAATCTCTTTCTGGATCAGAACCCCGTCACATGGGCTGGCCCTCTAACCCTGTGCCACCCCAGTACCAACATTATGTTGCAGCTGGTGCAGGATCCCACCAGTTTCCGATTCTTCAACCTCCGCAGGCCACCGTCATCATTTGTGGTCCACCTGCCAAGGAGCCTGATTACCTGGCCTACTCTATCTGTACCATGCTTTGCTGCTGCCTCCCCCTGGGCATTGCTGCCTTAGTTTACTCTATAAAGGTGAGCTCCTCCCTCTTTTTCTTTGGGCTGGGGGAGATGTAGTGCTATAATAGCAGGCAGTCCAATAGGCCCCATGACCTTTTCTGGTGGCCCCTGTAGCAGAGGCCTGTAGAAGGCTACAGGGTGGCTTGTGTTGTAGCTGAAATTCAAGGGGGCAGGTGAGCCTAAGGCTTCTGGATTTCAAGGTTTGGGGGCCCTTTCTCCACCCCAATAATTCAAGCCACCGTGTTGTCCACAGGGACAGGGAGAAATGGCAGAGCACAAAGTGGGTGGTGGTTTCAAAGAGAACAGGATAAGGGGATCACTCAGATGTTGCTTTTGCTCAGTCAAGGCAAAACGCAGGCAGGGTGAGGTCTAGAGAGGGGACTGAATCACGTCTGTGTGCAGGAGGGTTCCAGCTGGCTGGAGGGGCTCAAGCTAAGATCTGCAACTCTGAATCTCCTACGCTTCAGCAGGAAATAAAATGAGCCTCAGCACAGCTGCCTCTGCCAGCGCTGAAAGTTTTTGCTTTGCTTAAAGGGGCCCAGTCCTCTGCATTGGTCTCTTGTTGCTATGGTGGAGCAGAGGATTCCCTGCTTGTAGTGGGTCCTCCAAGTCTAAGTGTGACATTGTCACAGCCTCTGACCAATGAGGAGTCAGACACTGGCCCCACAGGCACTTTGGGTAGCAATGTTTCTGGGGTGTCTCCTGCGTAGCCTTCCTCCTTTCGTTTCGGAGTCCTGCACCTCACCACCTAAAGAGGACTTGACTCCTGTTCCCAGGCAGGCGCAGGATGGCTCTCAGGCAGCCAACATCCAGAGAGGCAGCTGGGTTAGCCTGTTGCAGCAAAACAGGAAAGAGTCTCTGATGACCACTTTGAAGTTGCATGGATTCTTTGGGGCATTTGTTTTCACAAACTAGGCTTTGTCTGAGCTGCTGGGCAGCTTTCTGAGTTAGGGGTGGGTGGCCTGTTTCATGGTGGCCCAGGTCCTACTTGGATGGTCATTTCTAGAAGGTGATGCTCAGGGAGTGCTCTTCGACCCCCTGGACCCTTCAGTGTGGTGTTCCTCTGGGTTTGATTTTATCCCCTCTGCTGTTTAACAGCGACATAAAACCACTGAGTGGGGTTATCTGGAGTTTTGGAGTACAGTGGTACCTTGGTTGTCGAACTTAATCCATTCCGGGAGTCCCTTTGACTCCCAGAAGCATTCGGAAACCAAGGTGCGGCTTCCGATTGGCTGCAAGAGCTTCCTGCACTCAATTGGAAGCCACAGAAGCCACGTCAGAAGTTCACCTTCCAAATAACGTTCACAAACCAGAACACTTACTTCCAGGTTTGAGGCATTCGGGAGCTGATTTGTTCAGGAGCCAAGCCGTTCGACAACCAAGGTATCACTGTACCTTGCTGGTGATGCACAGGTCTACTTCTCCTTTACATCTGCCATCAGTTCTCACTCTCTTTCTCCACAGACCCAAGAAGGCAACTTTAATGGAGATGTGATAGCTGCCAAGCGAAACTCCAGGATGGCTCGCATCTTGAACCACACAGCCCTCGGAGTGGGCTGCTTCTGCTTCGTTATGTATATCATCATAATGGCAACGTTGTATTGGCAACTGCAAAACCAGCACCCACTGGACTGAGGATTCACTGCAGAGCCTCCACATTTCGAAAGACCTCCCCACCGTTGCACTACTGAGAAGAAGGCCTGGCTGGACGCTGTGCTTTATGAATCATTCCACAGCAGGAAGTGCTAAAGGACTGAGTCACACATACAGACTCATCGCATGATTTCTGTTTACAGTGGTACCTCGGGTTACAATATGCTTCAGGTTACAGACTCCGCTAACCCAGAAATATTTCCTCGGGTTAAGAACTTTGCTTCAGGATGAGAACAGAAATTGTGCTCCGGCAGCACAGCGGCAGCGGGAGGCCCCATTAACTAAAGTGGTGCTTCAGGTTAAGAACAGTTTCAGGTTAAGAACGGACCTCCGGAACAAATTAAGTTCTTAACCCGAGGTACCACTGTATTTTACTTGATGGCCAACAATGGGATATGTGAAGTTCAAAGCATTGTCCCAAAGGTGTCATCAAGTGCTCTTGGAAGTTCTACCTGGGGGGGTGGGGAATGTAATATCCTATACTCTGCCATATATTCCTATACACATTATAATTTTTAAAAACGGGGATGGGGTTTATAAGAGATTCTGAAAAACACAATGTTATCAAGCAGGATCTGGTGACAATATGCATACTCCATTTACAATTATAGATCAGAGATGGACAAATACAGACATAATATGAAGACAAAATAAGCCATCTGTATGTGAATGTGTGGAAGTGAGTGGCTAGAACTGTTTATTACGTAGGTGTAATGGTTAAACAAGGCAAGGTTACAAAACATGAACCCTAATCTACCAAAGCAAAGTAATTAAAATATTCAACTGCTCTACACTACTTCTTCTTCTTTTGACATGTTCAGGGAAGTTTTTAAATGTGTGACATTTTAATGTATTTTTAATCTTTGTTGGAAGCTGCCCAGAGTGGCTGGGGAAACCCAGCCAGATGGGCGGGGTACAAATAATAAATTACTATTGCATCTTTATTGAAAGTTCAAAAAGTACATAATTATATGTGCACTAAACATTGAGAGACATAAATAAAACAGAGAAAAATAAAAAGAGAAACAAAACCCGTGTAGAAGCGAAAATAAAGGGGGGGGACCCCAAACGCTATGCTTTACAAGGTTGTTATTGTACTTCACCAGATCTTAACCTATTACAGTATTGTAAGAATGGATTCCAAATATCATTGATTAAATCTTACGCAACAAAAAAACCCCAGCCATCAACATATATGAATCTTTGTTATTAGCAAACCAATTTGATATACAGGTACTGAGGGAGGATTGGAAGAATCAAAGATCTCCATTTCAACCACACAGTGGGAAACTGTTTTAAGTGCTATAACAAGGGTGTCAATGGACCTTAGATTGAGGCTCATACAACAAAAAATAATATTTAGAATATACTGGACCCCATTACATTTGTTTTTAAAAGGGCTATCTAATGTATCTAACTGTTGGAGATGCAATAGGATAATGCTTCTCTAAAACATACTGTATGTTTTTTTCACTGTCCTATATTGAAAGATTTTTGGCAGAAGGTAACAAACTATCAATAGAACTTTACAAAGCAACCTTAAATTTACAGAGCAAAATATCCTCTTGAATTATATAGCCAGCACATAGAACCTTACAAAAGGACAATACGAGTGGACTCTCCCTTACCACAGCAAAAAGACTGATCCTGATGAATTGGAAAAATAAAAATGCAGCTCCCTTCTATGATTGGATTGAAGACTTATACAAACTCGCAACATATGAACAACTTGCATTACAGACACAGACTTGCCATGGACAAATGTTCTACACTTAGCAAGCGGAGGACATCACGGGTGATTCCTTTCTGATACACAAACATTCCAAGTAGGAATGATTAGGTTGTATCCAGTGCTTCCTCTACTCAAAGTATACCCATTGAAATTAATGGATATGACTGACTTGGGTCCATTCTGTTCAGTGGGGCTACCCTGAGTAGAATTCAGTTGGATACCACGCAGAGTCCCATGGACAATGGCCATGTTAGTTGCCCCAGAACTGGCAACAATAAAATATAACGATCCATGCCCTTAAAACAAAGTTGGATTTAGGGCAGTGTGACTGCTTCTGCTGCACTGGGCACCACAACTATGGCATGGTGAATTGAGCAGAATGGAAAGTGAGAGGTGGGAGGCACCAAATGTTGGCCTTGGGCAGGGAGTCTCTGAAATCTGAAAGACCAAAGTCTGCCCCTGCCTTAAAATAATGATATGGGCTTAACCTTCTGGCTCCCAGCTGCAACTCTCCTCACTGGAGGACAGGAGGTGGGCAGGTGTGGAGGAGTCCCTGGTCCTGAATGGGGTAATTGTGCCCCTGAAGGACCAGGTGTGCAGCCCGGGAGTCATTCTGAACTCACAGCTGTCTATGGAGGTGCAGGTCAATTCTGTGTCCAGGGCAGCTGTTTATCAGCTCCATCTGGTACGCAGGCTGAGACCCTACCTGCCCGCAGACTGTCTCGCCAGAGTGGTGCATGCTCTAGTTATTGCTCACTTGGACTACTGCAATGTGCTCTATGTGGGGCTACCTTTGAAGGTGACCTGGAAACTACAACTAATCCAGAATGTGGCAGCTAGACTGGTGACTGGGAGTAGCCGAGACCACATAAAACCGGTCTTGAAAGACCTACACTGGCTCCCAGTACGCTTCTGAACACAATGCAAAGTGTTGGTGCTGACCTTTAAAGCCCTAAACGCCCTCGGTCCAGTATACCTGAAGGAGCGTCTCCACCCCCATCGTTCTACCCGGACACTGAGGTCCAGTGCTGAGGGCCTTCTGGCGGTTCCCTTGCTGTGAGAAGCCAAGTTACAGGGAACCAGGCAGAGGGCCTTCTCGGTAGTGGCACCCGCCCTGTGGAACGCCCTCCCACCAGATGTCAAAGAGAAAAACAACTACCAGACTTTTAGAAGACATCTGAAGGCAGCCCTGTTTAGGGAAGCTTTTAATGTTTGATGGACTATTGTATTTTAATATTATGTTGGAAGCCGCCCAGAGTGACTGGGGAAACCCAGCCAGATGGGTGGGGTATAAATTATTATTATTATTATTATTATTATTATTATTATTATTATTATTATTATCCCACCATCCTGCCCAGTTTTACCTTCCTATATAAGACTCCATCCTCCAGTTTTGTTCCCTTCCTCTTGTTATCCCGATGATTAACTCCCTTTTCTAACCCTCCTGCCTCGTCTTCTCAGTACTGCTGGGCCTGGTGCTTAAATTCTCCCAACGCTTCACCAACAGGAATACATGCCTATCATACCCGTCTTCTCACCCTACAAATTCCAGCCCAAGCCCTGCAGAACACAGGCAGGGAAGGTGTGGCCTGGGGCCAAACAGTGAGGCCTGGAGCAGGACATTGGGCACCCAGTCCTGAAGCGCCCCATCCCTGCCTTAAATCTAAAGAAAAAGATGCACTTTGAACATTAATTAGTAAATGCCATCTATTCTATTCATGCAGTCTTGTGTTTCAAAGGCAAATACTGCAATTGTATACCAGTGTGGTGTAGTGGTTAAGAGCGACAGACTCGTAATCTGGTGAACCGGGTTTGCGTCTCCACTCCTCCACATGCAGCTGCTGGGTGACCTTGGGCTAGTCACACTTCTCTGAAGTCTCTCAGCCCCACTCACCTCACAGTTTGTTGTGAGGGAGGAAGGGAAAGGAGATTGTTAGTCGCTTTGAGACTCCTTCAGGTGGTGATAAAGCGGGATATCAAATCCAAACTATTCCTCCTCCTCCTCCTCCTCCTCCTCCTCCTCCTCTTCTTCTTCTTCTTCTTCTTCTTCTTCTTCTTCTTCTTCTGCTTTGGGAGCCTCAGAGTGATATAAATAAATATGTGATATGATATAATATACAGTTGCAGCGTGGAAGTCAAATGGAATCCATTCCGGTCGTCCGTTCAACTGCCAAAACGTTCGAAAACCAAATTGTGGCTTCTGATTGGCTGCAGGAAGCTCCAGCCAGTCAGAAGCCATGAAAGCCCCTTAGAATGTTTGGCTTCCAAAAACAGTTCACAAACCGGAACAGTCACTTACAGGTTTGCGACATTCGGGAGCCAAAATGTTCGGGAACTAAGCTGTTCGAAAACCAAGGTACGATTGTACGTATTTTATGACTGGGGTGTATGCAGTTTTAGGGGAGGAGTCATTACCAATTTCCTCGTTCCCAGCCACTCGCACGTCTGGGGTGAAAGACTCAGCGGAGCTGCTGTTCCATTCCAGAGACAGAGCACGGACTAGCGGCCACCTGAGCAGAGCAGCCAGCAATGTAAAGCCAACGCCTAGGCAAAAGAAGACCAAAGTTCACCGAAAGAGAAAGAGGAAGGGAGGGAGGCAGCAGGAGGCGGGGAGAAGAGTTAGAGGTGCAGCTGAGGAGAGGAAGAGCAGAGCACCCAGCAGCTAATCACAGACTGCCAGCTTCGGGGAGCAAAGGGGAGGAAAAGGAGAGGAGGCCGTCCGCCATGAGCAACTATGAGAGGCTGAAAGAGGATTCCACCACCACCACTCAGGATCCACCTCCTTACGCTGACAAAGACTCCCATGAAGACCCTGAGCCAACAAAACCTCTTATTGGACCAGAACCCCGCCACATGGGCTGGCCCTCTAACGCTGTGCCATCCCAGTACCAACACTATGGTGCAGCTGGTGCAGGATCCTACCAGGTTCCGATCCTTCAACCTCCGCAGGCCACCGTCATCATTCGTGGTCCACCTGCCAATGAACCTGATTACCTGGCCTACTCTATCTGTACCATGCTTTGCTGCTGCCTCCCCCTGGGCATTGCTGCCTTAATTTACTCTATGCAGGTGAGCTCCTCCCTCTTTTTCTTTGGGCTGGGGGAGATGTAGTGCTATAATAACAGGCAGTCCAAAAGGCCCCATGACCTTTTCTGATTTCCTTTTAGCAACAGTCTGTAGAAGGCGACTTGTGGTGTGGCTGAAATTCAGGGAGCAGGGGAGCCTAGGGATTTTGGATTCAGGCTTTGGGGACTCTTTCCTCACCCCAACTGATAGAGAAAAATAGGGGGTGGTTGACTTTTGCTGCCCAACTTCTTAAGGGACCGAGTCCCCTTAGTCTATGATCAGTCAGAGATAAATGGATGGAGGCAGGAAGCAGTGAAAGCAAGGCAGATCTTTATTTTTCTGTTGCAACAGAGTTCTCTCCCCACCTAGCAAGGAGCGTAGAGAGACCCAGAACCAAGAAAAAACATTTCTTTTAAGGGTTTTCATTTTGGCATGGAGAAGAAGGACATCCCCTCTACAAACAGTCAGAAATTACATCACACATAATGTGAGGTAACTGTGGCTCAGGTAGGCCAAGGTTTCATATTCCTGAGGATTTGGCAAGATTTACATACTTCCAGACACAGTTTTGCAGAAAAGGCATTTGATAAGACCAGGGGTCAGCAACCTAAGGCCCATGGGTCACAAGTGGACCATGTGGATCGTTTAACCAGCCCACGAGCCACCCCCAAACCGAGCCGCCTGCTCAGCGAGTCCCCGCTTGCTGTGCTAAACTGGTACAGGGACTCGCTTTCGCAGCGCCAGAAATTGCGTCTGCGCAGATGCCGGAAATCACGGGCGCCTGCACGATCTGGCCCACAGAGGGATTTCTGCTGGAGTGAACCAACCCAGGCAAGGTAAACCTTGCGGACCCCTGGATAAAACAATCAGGATGCCTGTCAGTCATCCCTCATCTGGGCAAACAGTGACACTTAATAAAAAGGAGGTTCAATAGATATAGGAGAGGAATCCCTTCAGGAACTTCCACCTGCCCATGTGGTCTCAGGCAAGAGGGATTAAGGAAGCAGAGGAAATATTTAGAGTCTTTAGGAGACCCAAGTTGGCTTTTGGATTGCTCTCCTGCACTATTGTGGCATATAGACTCATGCATGTGTGCAATTATCAACATTTATTCTATATTTGAGACCTTAGAATTCCTACAACACCCAGCATTTAAGCCACGGTGTCGTGCTACAGGAGAAACGGAAGAGCACAAAGTGGGTGGTGGTCTCAAAGAGAGCAGGATAAGGGGATCGCTCAGATGTTGCTTTTGCTCAGTCAAGGCAAAACTCAGGCAGGGTGAGGTTCAGAGAGGGGACTGAATCATGGCTGTGTTCAGGAGGGTTCCAGCTGGCTGGAGGGGTTCAAGCTAAGATCTGCAACTCTGAATCTCCTACACTTCAGCAGGAAATAAAGGCAGCCTCCGCCCTATATAGTATCAGCACAGCTGCCTCTACCAGCAGTGTGAGTTGTTGTTTTGCTTAAATGGGCCCAGCCCTCTGTGTTAGTCTCTTGCTACGGTGGAGCAAATGAGTCTCTGCTTGCATTGAGTTTTCCAAGTCCAAAGATGACATTGCCACAGCCTCTGGCCATTGGGGAAGACAAAACTCTGAATCCTTTATTTATTTATCTTTTATTTTTTTTATAATTTTCATTTAAATATATTACAACAATTATTCCATCATAATTTTAGCATTTCAAACTTTGACTCCCTTCCCCGTGTTTCTGTGGTTCTTTTCATTTCTTTTCATCTTCCTGCATACTCTTGAGTTTAGGCTATATTAAAGGCTGAATTAAAAACACAAATTCCCCTGTAGTTATTTTCCCCACCACACTGTGTCGCCTCTGTTCCTCACTTTATGACCTCTTCCAGCAAGGTCACTTTTTCTTTTGTTTATCTTTCCTGCTTCCTGTTAGTCCTCCTTCACCCAAACACAGTCATGAACTTTCTCAGAAATGTGGGATTCCCCTGGGATATGATTTTATCCCCTCTGCTGTTTAACATCTACATGAAACCACTGAGTGGGGTTATCTGGAGTTCTGGAGCACAGTTGTCAGCAATAGGCCGATGATGCACAGCTGTACTTCTCCTTTACATCTGCCGTCAGTTCTCTCTCTCTCTCTCTCTTTCTCCGCAGACCCGAGAAGCCAACCTTAATGGAGATGTCATAGCTGCCAAGAGAAACTCCAAGATGGCGCGCATTTTGGCCAACACAGCCCTCGGGGTGGGATGCGTCTTAATTGTTGTGTATATCATAATAATGGCAATTGTGTATACAAATGCAAAAAATCAGCATCCGCATAACTAAGGATTTGCCACACAGCCTCCACCCCCTGAAAAACCTCCCCACCACTGCAATAATCAGAGAAGGCCTGGTTGGATGCTGTGCATTTTGATTCATTCCATAACTAAAGGGCTGGTATACACATGGATGCACATCACATGATTTCTATTGAATTTACGCAATGACGAGCAATGGGGTGCATGAACTTTCAGAGCACTTGATGTTGTCACTTTAGAGGCAATGCCTAGGAGCAATACCTAGGAGCAAATTTGTAACATATTCTGTAATACATCCTGTCATATATTCCAATACACATTGGAAATCTATTCCTAGGTATATATATAATTTTTGAAAGGGTGGGGGGGATTATAAGAGATTCTGAAAAATGCAATGTTATCAAACAGGATCTGATGACAGGATGCCGACGCCACTTATCATTATTGATCAGAGATGAACATCTGCAGACATAAAATAAAGCCGGGAGCCAGAATAAGCCATGGGTATGTGAATATGTTGAAGGTAATGACTCAAACTGTTTATAACATAGGTGTAATGGTTAAACAAGTCAAGGCAGAAAAATGTGAACCCAATTCTACCAAAGCAAAGTAATTAAAATATTCAAATGCTCTACACTTCTTCTTTTCTTGGCATCTTTATTGAAAGTTCAAAAAGTACATAATTTTATGTGCACTAAACATTGTGAGACATAAATAAAAGAGAGAAAGAGAAACAGAACCCGTGTAGAAGGGGAAATAAAGGGGGGACGACCCAAAACTCTATTCTACCGAGGGAAAGTAATCAAAGTATCCATATGCTCTACACATAGCAAGTGATGGACATCATGGGTGATTCCTTTCTGATACACAAACGATACAGTTCCAAATAGGAAATATTAAGTTGCATTTGGTGCTTCAAATACCCGTATTCTCATTGCACAAATTTCAGCCCAAGCTCTGCGGAAGAGGGGCAGTGAAGGTGTGGCGGAGGGTCAAATAGTGAAGCTTACAGTAGCACATTTGGCCCCCAGTCCTGAACTGCTTCAGTCCCCCTCCCTTAACATAAAAGAGGAAGATGTGTCTTGAACGTGAATTAAATGCCATCTCTTGTATTCATCCAGTCTGGTGTTTTAAAGGCAAATAATGTGCATGTATGGTGCTTTGGAAGCCTCTCAGGGTGATAAAAATAATGTGATGTAATATACCTATTATATGATTGGGGTTTTATGCAGTGTTAGGGCAGTACCTCTGGCGGGGGACATGCCGTGCTCCTTCTGGGGTAGTTTGCCCACCTTTGGTCCCCACCCTGCACCAGCTTGGGAGGGCAATGGAGGGGGGGCAATGCCACGCATGACGCCACACATGTGACTTCATGACATCTGGAAGAGCCAGGGGAACATCCAGCCAAACATGGCAGCCAGGTGGCTTCAATGGCTGGGGTTCAGACTCCACCTTCTCCTGGAGCAAGAAGCTGTTCGACCCTCTTTCCACTCCATGGCAGGAAGTGGAGAAGAAGGAGTCACGCCCCCCCCCCCCATGGATGTAATGCTCCTGGCACTGTTTTTTGCTGCCATTTGCACAAAAGGAGAAATACAGCAGAGTCATAAGAGCATTTGTAGAAAGCCCTTATGTGCATATTGCTGAGGTGTTCAAATACAGCCAGTGCCTAGATACATGCATACGTACATGCATACATACATACATACAACATAGCTACCTGCAAAGATAGATAGATGATTAGATAGATAGATAGATAGATAGATAGATAGATAGATAGATGGTGATAGATAAATATAGATAGATGATGATGATGATAGATAGATGATAGATAGATGATAGATAGATGATAGATAGATGATGATAGATAGATAGATGATAGATAGATAGATAGATAGATAGATAGATAGATAGATGATAGATAGATAGATAGATAGATAGATAGATGATAGATAGATAGATGATAGATAGATAGATAGATAGATAGATAGATAGATAGATAGATAGATAGATGATAGATAGATAATATATGGGATTTGTATGTTTTCCATCCCATGGCATTCAGCAGCTGTCTTCTCTAGCATGAAAGGATCAGTATCTTTGGATTTCTACCCAAATTTAGGATTCAACATAGACTAGACTACATTCATTCATTCATTTTATTAAACTTACATCCCATCCTTCCTCCTGAAGATTAGCAACCATATCAATAATAAAGCGATTTAGTCTTACAAAAAAAGTTTAAAACAACCCTCCAGTTTAAAACAGTTAAAAATGTTCTAAAAAAAAGAAGCCTCTACTCCCACAGCAAATAAATTCAGGGTTGCCAAGAACAGATCTTTCAGCCAACGAATGCCTAAGGGAGCAGCAATGTTTTTGAATTCTTCCTAAAAGTTTATAATGACAGAGAGAGGGATGCCTTATTAGGGCACATCTCAGATTCTCCTACGTAGGAGCTGTATATCTGGCCTGGGAGAAACTACTAGCCTCCCCAGATTTATGAACCTGCGCAGACCCGATGACATCTCAGATACTTGAGAATTGCAAAATCTCTCTGCCGTGTGTGTCCATGTCCACAGCAAGGATGACGGAAAAGAACTACAGCACTACATGGCCAGGAAATATCCTCCACTTCCTGGACCTGTGTTGCAATACCCAGGACAAAACTGTCTCTTGATCATTGCTTGCCCCTCATTCCACACGCTCTTCATCTGGAAAGCTAGACACAGCAAATCTGTCCTGTCTAAGAAGCTGCGTATCTAGGAGTCTCCAAAGGAAGGACCCAAAGCCTGGCCAGCATTGCAGAGGCAACACACACACCTTAAAGAAGACCCAGACCACAGGAAGAGGGTTTTAAGGCAGAGGGTAGGAGAACGGGGGGGGGGGAGAGAGAGAGCAGGACACCCAGCAGCTAACCAGGGCAGCCACAATGGAGGAACACCAAGAACTGAGCAGAGGTTCCAGAACTGAGAAGACAAAGGAAGAAGAAGAAAGCACCACAATGAGCAACCCAAAGCATGAAAAGCTGGGTGAGAAGGCACTTGCCGCTCAGAACCCCCCTGCCTACTCTGAAATAGATGCCTATACAGAGCCTGACCCACTGAAACAGCCTCCTGGGCCAGCACCCCAAGCAGGCTATGGGTTAATGCCAGCACCTCATGCAGGCTATGGGGCAATGCCAGCACCCCAAGCAGGCTATGGGCCAATGCCAGCACCCCAAGCAGGCTATGGAGCTATGCCAGCACCCCAAGCACGCTATGGGGCTATGCCAGCACCTCAAGCAGGCTATGGGGCAATGCCTTACTATGGCCCACCCGTTGCGGGATCTCACCTACGCCCAGTCCTTCAACCTCCACAGGCGGTCTACGTCACACCTGTAGAGCCCACCAATGAACCCGATTACTTGATCTACTCCATCTTCACCATGCTCTGCTGCTGCTTACCTCTTGGTATTGTCGCCTTGGTCTACTCTATACAGGTAAGTGTGTGTGAAAGGGAGAGGCAAACAAATGGGGGTGGGGGGTGAGGCTTTGCTAGAAAACAAAGGAGGCAAAAAGGCATCCCCCCCCTTAGTAACAAGGGGTTGCACCCAACTGAGTTCTACTCAGAGAAGACCCATTGCAAATAATGGGTCCAAGTTTGTAATGGGCATTGATTTCAGTGGGTCTGCTCTGAGTAGGACTAGCATTGGCTTAAGTGCTGTTTTTGGAAGGTGACATCGCAAGCTATAATTTGGCTGTAATTGGGAGTGGGACTTCTGGATTTCATTGAAAGATATTTCCCTTTACAGTCCAAGCATTGGCACGATGGGAGTGGGAGGGGAGTGAGGAGAGAAACTTGATGTAGTTTGAATTGAAAGGCAAACCTACCTAATTTGTTCTTTCTGAAACGATACACAAACCAAAAAAACAGTCCTCCTCCCAAAATTCGCACTTCTCTGAATTTTGCAACGCAGTTCTCCAGCCAAGTATGTGTGTACCAAAACGCATATGCTAGGGTAAAACGTGCGTAAAATGCATACACTCATAAAAGCAACATCTAAGAAAGGATTGCATCGTATTATGGGAAATTGCTTTGCAAATGTGTCTATCTGCTAGTCTGTTGCGGTGTGAGCAAGGGAGAGTCTCATAGCACCTTAAAGGGAACAAATTGTTGCGGCATCTGTTTTGGTGGACCTCAGCCCCCTTTCATTGACTTGACCTTGATAGGTAGGTACCCACCATGTGATCCTCAGATAAAGGGCAATGTGTGCATTTAATAAATAATAACGAAATGAATATCATGCCACCACTTAGCTTCAGAATCCAGGCATGGTTAAAGGTGTGATGTGGAATCAAACTTTTTTTTTTACTGCAACTAGGACTGTGGTTGGAAAACCGACTCTTTGGCAAGGGCTAGCTAACCATGGATCTGTTTGCAACTTGGTGAGATGGTCACCTGGAACATCTTGTCACACAGCTAGGAGATTGTTTCTTATCTCCTTAGATCAAGGGCTAATTCTTCACTGGGCATGATGCTGCATTTGATCAGCTGCGGGGCAAAGAGCTCTCTATGCCACCCCAATAGCAACCTGATTATGGCACAGCTAATGCTGGATCCAGGCTCAGTGCTCTGTGTTTCAAGAACTGGGATCCACCTTTATCTTCCTTCCTTCCTCTTTTACTGCATGCATTCAGAGAATTGTATAATTGTAGAGACAGAAGGGACCCTGAGGATCATCTAGTCCAACCCCCTGCAATACAGAAATATGCAGCTCTCCCATTGGAGGGTCGAACCTGCAACCTTGGCGTTATCAGCACTATGCTCTAGCAGACTGAGCTACCCATCTGATCTTTCTCTTGGGGCATGTTTGATTTTCCTTTCTCTTTCTTCCTTATTCTCTCCTCCTCCTCCTCTCCCTTGTACCTCCTCCTCTCTTCCTCCTTTTAAAACAATGTGCATGAAATTAGCAGAGAGAGAGAGAGAGAGTATGGCAGAAAGCCACTGGTGTGACCCAGCTTAAATGAGGATGTGATCCAGGATACGGCTCATGTCAATGGGCGCATTTCCCTTCTTTGTACATCGCCCCCGAGGAAGGAGTTGTGCAAATGCTCATTGTAAGCGAGTTCTCCATAACTGTGTGCCCAGGGACCGTGAACCCCTCCCCATCGGGCCATATCAGTAAAACAAGGACTACAGGAAACATTCCGTGAGGTTCAATTAGGCCACAACTTTGTTGATTACAAGTGTAACTGAGTTTTGGCTTGGCAATGAGCAGCCACCATCTCCTCCAGTCAGCCTGCTGGAGGGATTCTGGGGACCAACCCTGATTTGGGGTCGACCCATGACATACATTAAATAAATGCAACCTGCACAGACTTGCGGCATTGGGGAGTGCTGTGGCTCTTAGCCTGGATGTATGGACAGAAGCTCCTCCTTGTGGATCTCTTTATCGGGATACCCCAACGCCAAGGAGTGGGGAGCAGAGGCTCATAATCTCCTCTCCACCACCAAAGAATAGGCTACTTTCATCTGATCTTTCTCTAGGGTATATTTCATTTACCTTTCTCTAACCCACATTCACTTTCTTTCTTATTCTCTCTTTCTACCCTTCTAGTTCCCTGCTGCTGCTGCTGCTGCTGCTGCTCCCTCCTCCCTCCTTCTCTTCTCTTTCTCACTTTAAAACATTGCATAATGTGAGAACATGATGCTTGGCTAGACAGGCTACTGGCCTGATCAGGGTTGCCATGCTCTTATGCAGTGCGCCTTGCCATAGAACTTGTGGCTACATATGCACCACACATTTCAAAAAGTCCATTTAAAGCCCATTTCTCCATGAAGAATCCTGGGAACAGTAACTTTCCCCTCCAACAGGGCTACAGTTCCCAGCCACTCTTAACAAACTACAGCTCCCAGGATTTTTGTGGGGTGGGTGTTTTAAACATACGATATGAACCCGGCCCTCCAGATGTTTTGAGACTACAATTCCCATCATCCCTGACCACTGGTCCTGTTAGCTAGGGGTGATGGGATTTGTAGTCCCAAAACATCTGGAGGGCCACGTTTGCCTATGCCTGTCTTACAGTCTTGCTCTGCTCTGCTAGGTTCCAGTCTAAAACCACAAGGTTACTGGTAAGTGACTGATAGCCTCAAGCAACAAGATTCTTCGTTGGCTAACACCAAGGCAGCTGTTTCTCAGCTTGCCACTTCTGCATGCTGGAGGTGTTCTCCAGCTGCATGGTTTCTCACTCGCTTCTTTCTCTTTCTCTGCAGACAAGAGAAGCCAACTTCGCTGGAAATGCCGCATCCGCCGAGAGAAACTCCCGAATGGCACGCCTCTTCTCTCACCTCGCTTTCGGGATTGGGCTGGGGCTCCTTATTTTATATATCATCATTGTTACAAGAAATTTTAGATAAAAAATGTTCATAAATTTACAAGGCAAACATATACATGAGTATGTAAACCACGTGTCTGAAATAGTACAGGAGAACAATCCTGAAACCATTTTGACTCTCCCAAATTGACCTCAAATGTTTCTCTGCAAGGAGGAAGGAAATGGGAAAGACTCTCCATTGTCTTTTGCTTACCTGTCTTTAGGGCATCTTTCTGTATGAATAGGGTGAGCTTGTGACCTGGATTCAGGAATTAAAGTATTTACTATCACAAAATAATGGCCAGGCTGCCCAAGTAAGCAATCACTGGCCATTGTCAGGTATCCTGGCAGACAGGATTTCTGTTGTAGACCGCCTCCTTCTGTGATGTATGTATGATGTTTGAGATACAGGGTGGGCAGTTTCAAAAGTCTATATAAGGGCTTGCACACCATTGTTCTGGGTTCCTCCTCTCTTCTGCTTGTGGTGAGTGAGGACCCAGTTGGAACAGTTTAATAAAGATCAAGCTCAGTAGCTGCTTTGCTCCTCAGTATTCTCTGGTTGGCCTGTTATTTTCTCCTACTGATAAGGAACTCGCTTAAGGACTCTATACGAGTCCTTGGATAGCCCATAAGGAGAAAGGAGCAGATTTTGTTTATGTCAATATGGTGAGCCAGGCAGGAGCTTTGGCTGTCCAGATTCTGGGGGTGAGGAAGGACTGGTGATCCAATGCGCACCAGGCCATTTGCCAGGAGGAGCCACCAGTCCACCAGCGATCCCAGGGTCTGGAAATAACTGGAGTTCCAGAGGGGCTAACCAGAGGAAGCAACACTTGATCAGGCCAGCCAATTTAGTATAAGATCCCAGGATCGCCAGGAGCAGCGCTTGCAGAAGTGAGTATAAGGAACTGTGCATGGAGAAGAAGGTGGGCAGGACTCTCCAACCCCAGGGACTAAAAAAGATCTCCCTCTATCAATCCTTTTTCTGCTCTTTGTTTACAGATTTTTTAAATCTACCCCTTCCCTTCCATGAGTCCCTGGTAAGAAAAGCCAATCATGGCTTTATTCAAATAGTAATTTAGTCAGGAGATGCAACACTTTAAATGATATAATAGATTTGCTGAATCATGAACTCTGTACATGTACAGAGGCTATGTTAGCTTAGAAAGAAAATAAAAAGAAGGTTTAAAACAAGAGGTGACAAAGCTATGCCCTGCACATGACACTTTATTCAAATTTCTTAATGTAAAATTGGGAACCATTGAGGGAACTGCAGTGAGAAATACCCCTTTGTGTGCTTTGTGTAAAAATGTAGGTTTTTTCCCTTCTTTTCTCCCACAACACCCAAAAACTAAGTGAAGGAAAGTAAACAGACGGAGCAGAAAATAACAGTAGTAATTATATGGAAAGGTGATAATAATAATTAAATGAATAAAATGCTTAACTCTAAAATTTTGTATTGTTTACAGCTTCCTAAGAAGAAATTTGAAGGATATTCTCCCCTTTCTTGGCTATTTATTATCTTACTCCTTTTTTATTTTAACCGATTGTGTCTTCAGACCCCAACCCTCTGCAGGCCTGTCTCTTCAAAGGATGTGTTATTGGAAACTGAATGGTGAAACCAGCCTGCATTGCTTCAAGAGTATTCCCTGCCAAAAGAACATCAGCGTGGCCACAGCAATTTCTCTCCATAAAGGACTTGAGGGCAGTGGGGGATGGGTGTTGAATAGTTGAATTATTAAGGACATTTTCTCTTTTCTGACCACAACCTAAGAAGAAAAAGAACTTAGAAAGCTATAGGACTATCCTCCACTAGGGCCAGGGCTTTTTCAGTGACGGCTCCGACCTGGTGGAATGCTTTGTCCCACAAGACTAGGACAACTGCCCTTTTATTAGAATGGTTTTTAACAGATTGGTTTAAAAGTTGAGAACCATGGGGCTATATAAATTCTAATTGGACTCAGTTTGAATTGGGCAAGTGTATCCAGGCTGCAAATTGTTTGTTTTGTTTTGTTTTGTTTTTGTCCTTAAGAGCAAGTGAGCAACTTCCGTAGAGTGCAAGACCAGAGCCTATGATAATAAAAGCCCATAGAAAGTACAAGGCAAAGAGATCTCTCTCATGACATGTCCAAACTTGTGGCGGGTACAAGGTGACATGCTCCATGAAACCCCTAAGACCAGGGTTTGTTGTTGCTGTGGTATGATGAAGGTGAAAGACTAGAGGAGAGCTAACTTTGGCTCCTGAGAACACAAAAAAGGCAGAAACTGTGTTTTTCAATCATTTTTGGACCTTCCTGCTGAGTGAAAAGCATAGAACACAGTGGTACCTCGGGTTAATAACTTAATTCGTTCCGGAGGTCCGTTCTTAACCTGAAACTGTTCTTAACCTGAGGTACCACTTTAGCTAATGGGGCCTGCTGCTGCTGCCACGCTGCCGGAGCACGATTTCTGTTCTGATCCTGAAGCAAAGTTCTTAACCAGAGGTACTATTTCTGGGTTAGCGGAGCCTGTAACCTGAAGCGTCTGTAACTTGAAGCGCCTTCAACCCGAGGTACCACTGTATTGAGAAAATGTTTCTCCCAAAGTGCTAGAATGCCACAGGTAATTTAGTAAGAGAATGCAACTTGTGTTATTTTTACGTGATATCCTATGTCCAGCTATCTGCACTGCCACACTTGTGAATATTCTTAAGAAGCCTGACATGCAAGTCTCTTCAGATTTACACAAAAGCATCCATTTACAATATATCATAAGGTGGCTACCAGGTTATTATAATTTTTTTTAGTAAAAATTATAGCTACAGAGGGGGCATTGTTATAAGAATTTAAGGTCTCAGGTATATAAACATGGAGGCCGGGTGGCTTCAATGGCCGGTGGCTTCGACTCCACCTCCTCCTGGAACAGCCACCAGCAGGAAGCTGCTTCGACCCTCCTTCCATTCCATGGCAGGAAGTGGAGGAGAAGGAGTCAGCCACTAGAGCTGTGCCACTCTCACCTCCACACTTCACCTCCATGCTTTTTGGACATGAAGGCCCCAGACTCTCCCAAAAATATTGAGGGGGCCAAATGGGCTCGGCTCCTAGGAGCTGGTGCCCCTGCCTTGCACTCAGCTCTCATCTGTGGCTCCTAGAAGATGTCAGCACGTGATAATGGCCATACCCTGAGAGTGGTTTCAATTGGCTGGCTAAACCAAGGGAGGGTAGCTGATGGGTCTCAGACCAATACAGTGGTACCTTGGGGTTCTCAAACTTAATCCTTTCCCGAAGTCCGTTCCAAAACCAAAGCGTTCCAAATATAAGGCACCCTTTCCCATAGAAAGTAATGCAAAATGGATCAATCCGTTCCAGGCTTCTAAAAACAACTCCTAAAAGAGCAATTTAATATGAATTTTACAATCTAACAAGACCATTGATCCATAAAATGAGAGCAATAAACAATGTACTACAGTCACACAATCAATCATTCAGTAGCCGAACTGGGTTCCAAACAGTCACAAAAACAAAACAAAAAGAGCCGCAAAAACAAAAATGCAAAATTAAATAGCAAAAACAGATGGACCTCAGTGTAACACTCAAGACGGAGCATGTTCGACTTCCAAAAAAAGTTCACAGACTGGAACACTTACTTGCGGTGTTTGCATTCCAAGTTGTTTGAGTACCAAGGTGTTTGAGAACCAAGGTACCACTGTAGTGGGTCCAACACGTGGTATCCGCAAGTGCTGTAGAGGCAAGTGAGGGGCAGGTGGTGCTGGTCAACCTGTAAGGTACTCTACCTAGAAGAAGGAAAACTCTGATCCTAAACCTTCGCTGCTTTGCGGGATATCTTCAGGAGAAGGAAAAGCTAAGGAGTAACCCCTTCACAAATCTGGAGTTCAGTCCCCAAGACGGTTGGGTGGCGCCTTTTACACCTCCTTCCAGAAACTCCTGCAGCCAAGCTGGTGCTAAATGTATTGCTCTGCTTTCCAAGAGTCTTGTCATCTGAACAGACCAGGACCACCTTACACACTGCCCAGGCTTGCACCCCAGGGTGCTTTGTGCTTTGGTGCTGCTAGCACAGCTGTTTGACTTCACCTCATTCTCTTGAGACAGGCGGGTGCCAACAACATTATATGATGGAGGTGTTTTCAGTGGAGACTGGTCCATGAGGGCAAATGGGGCAGTGGCCCACCAAACCTCAGGCAGCCCCCACCTGCCTGCCTTCTTACTTACAGCCAGTCAGGGGGCAGTTCTGCCTGTGATTGGCTCTGGCTCCACTTACTGCCTCCCGGCCCAGCAGTCCCATGGCTACATGCTTTATGGGATGAATACTATTAAAATAAAATGAATAAATCTGAAAGGCCCTGTTCCTGACCGCAGTGAGGATTTGTCTGCCTAAAAGCATACCACACTCTATTTTTGGTTCCTTAAACAAAGGACTTGCAAACTACAGGCAGATGTCTTTGTCTCAGTTCCTGTAATTTCACTTTGGAGCTCGCCTACTCATAACTAGTTTACATGGGTTTGCACAATTCGCATTCCAGGAACACATTTCACATTCCTAGAACTATCAGCTTAGATCCTTCATTCTGTAGATTTGAATAAGGACAGCAGTATTTAATCAGTCAGGCAGATTGATTAACTCACCCTGTGCTCCCAACTCGTGTGTGTGTGTGTGTGTGTGTGTGTGTGTACACACACTTACAAAAATGTAAACAGTAGGTGCCATTTTAGAAGAGTTCCTTCTCGTATCTCTTCTAAGATGGTTCCTGGTGCAACACAGTGTGTGTGTGTGTGTGTGTGTGTGTGTGTGTGTGTGTGTTTCATCTGAGACCAGATGGACATGTTGTTCTAAGATGTTTGATACCACACTTGCATCTTAAAGACAAAGGAACTCTTTTTTCACTCTTCAGAAATACTGATTAATTCACACAACATGTTATGCAAGCTTACCTGTCTGTGTAATTAACCAACTGCAATTCAGATGGTGAACCCATTCGTAAGAAATCCATGGGGAAGGGCAAATTTACAAAACAGTTGTGCTCCGCTTTCTTACAGCAGAAAGAGTGGCTCAGTGTACACCACCTTTTTAAAGTCATTGTTGACTTTTCAGGAGGAATTTGACCCAGGCGTTTGGTGGCTGAAAGACAATATCCTTGACAACCATGAGATCACTGGATGAGATAAGAGATCACTGGATGAGATAATATTTTTCACTGCTTTTAGAACTTTTTTTAAAAACTGTCGTGGTTTTTAGAATGTTTTCATACCGTCCGACATTTTACCCACAAAAATTAGAAAGCTCCATTTTTTGTTCCAAGCTTTCTTGCATGCGTGAGAGCACAGAAACAAAACACACATTCTTTGATCTCGCAAGACCAAAAAACATTCCAGTGTTGTGGCACGACCCAGCTGATTCACACCGGAGCACCACATCGCCCACTACCCCTCACTGCCACCCATGCCTCCCTTCTCCACACCATGACAAAACCAGAGCGTTGTGGGACAAAGGCAGGGCACCCTCAAGGAAAGAAAGTCCATCCCACTGAAAATGGGGCACTTGCCAAATACTGTATTGGCCTGGAAATAAGCCTCACTTTTTTCCCAAATTCCATCCGTGAAATGTTAAAGTGCAGCTTACTGTATATTCACGACCTTACAGTATGCAGCCAGGAGCATGGGGCAAACAGCACCAGCAGCTTGGAAAAGCGGTGGCTGCCCTGTGCATACTCCCCCATCCTCTCCCCCAAGGCCAGGAAGGGAGAGAGCAAGGAAGGGGAAAGGCCGTCGGCAATGCAGCGTGGCTCCCCCCAGCCCCCCTAGTATGCAGCCTGGAGCAACGAGGAATGGAATGGCTTATATTTGGGTTTTGGGGTTCCCCCCCCACTTTCCCCCTCTAATTTTAAAGGTACGGCTTATATTCAGGTGTGGCTTATATTCGGGCTAAAACAGTATATGTTTTGACTTGGGGGGGGGGTGTTTGCTGCCCTGTGCTGCTTTTAGGAGGAAGGGTGGGTGATAAATTATGACAAAGGCTAATGGTTTATTATTGATGTGGGAGCAATAAAACCATGACCCCTGGATTAGCACCACATCCAAACCGAGGGTGGGGGTTTGTGGCACTCAAACAAACCATGACTGCTAAAGGCAATGATTTCAGATTGTGGTTTGTTTGGAGTGAAATGAGCCACAATCCCCCCCCCCCCCCCGTGGTGGATGTAATGCCAGGAATCACTGTTTCTAGCTGCCGTTTGCACAAAAGGAGACATACAGCAAAAGGAGAGTCATAAGAGCATTTGTAGAAAACCATTATCTGCATATTGCTGTGGTGTTCAAATATGGCCAGTGTCTAGATACATACATACATACATACATACATACATACATCATAGCTACCTGCAAAGATGATAGATAGATGATATAGATAGATAGATGACAGATTAGATGATAGATAGATAGATAGATAGATAGATAGATAGATAGATAGATAGATAGATGATAAATAATATATGGTATCTGTATGTTTTCCATCCCAGGGTGATCAGCAGCTGTCTTTTGTGGCATGAAAGGATCAGTATTTTCTACCCAAATTTAGGATTCAACATAGACTAGACTACATTCATTCATTCATTCATTCATTCATTTTATTAAACTTACATCCCATCCTTCCTCCTGAAGATTAGCAACCACATCAATAATAAAGCGATTTAGTCTTACAAAAAAAGTTTAAAACAACCCTCCAGTTTAAAACAGTTAAAAACCTTCTAAAAAAAGAAGCCTCTACTCCCACAGCAAATAATTTCAGGGCTGCCAAGAAAAATTTTCACCCAACAAATGCCTAAGGGAGCAGCAATGTTTTTGAATTCTTCCTAAAAGTTTATAATGAAAGAGAGAGGGATGCCTTATTAGGAAACATCTCAGATTCTCCTACGTGGGAGCTGTATATCTGGCCTGGGAGAGACTACAAGTCTCCCCAAATTTATGAACCTGTGCAGACCCGATGACATCTCAGATACTTGAGAATTGCAAAATCTCTCTGCTGTGTGTGTCCATTTCCACAGCAAGGATGACGAAAGAAACACTACAGCACTACATGGCTAGGAAATATCCTTCGCTTCCTGGACCTATGTTGCAACACCCAGGACAAAACTGTCTCTTGCTCGTTGCTTGCCCCTCATTCCACACGCTCTTCTTCTGGAAAGCTAGACACAGCAAATCTGTCCTGTCTAAGAAGCTGCGTATCTAGGAGTCTCCAAAGGAAGGACCCAAAGCCTGGCCAGCATTGCAGAGGCAACACACGAACCTTAGACCACAGGAAGAGGGCGCTAAAGGCAGAGGGAAGGCAGAAGGTGAGGAAAGGGTAGGAGAACAGAGAAAGAGAGAGAGAAAGCAGGACTTCTAGCAGCTAACCGGGGCAGGAGGAGGAACGCCAAGAACTGAGCAGAGGTTGCAGAACTGAGAAGACGAAGGAAGAAGGAAGCACCACCATGAGCAAACCAAACTATGAACAGCTGGGTGAGAAGGCACTTGCCGCTCAGAACCCCCCTGCCTACTCTGAAAAAGAGGCCTATGCAGAGCCTGACCCACTGAAACAGCCTCCTGGGCCAGCACCCCAAGCAGGCTATGGGGCTGTGCCAGCACCCCAAGCAGGCTATGGGGCAATGCCTTACTATGGCCCACCTGGTGCAGGATCTAACCTAGGCCCAGTCCTTCAACCTCCACAGGCGGTCTACGTCACACCTGTACAGCCCACCAATGAACCCGATTACCTGATCTACTCCATCTTCACCATGCTCTGCTGCTGCTTACCCCTTGGTATTGCTGCCTTGGTCTACTCTATACAGGTAAGTGTGTGTGAAAGGGAGAGGCAAACAAATGGGGGTGGGGGGTGAGGCTTTGCTAGAAAACAAAGGAGGCAAAAAGGCATGCCCCCCCCCCTTAGTAACAAGGGGTTGCACCCAACCTAGTTCTACTCAGAGAAGACCCATAGCAGGTAATGGGTCCAAATTTGTAATGGGCATTGAATTCAGTGGGTCTGCTCTGAGTAGGAGTAGCATTGGGTTAAGTGTTGTTTTTGGAAGGTGGCATCACAAGCTATAATTTGGCTATAATTTGGCTATAATTGGGAGTGGGGCTTCTGTATTTCATTGAAAATATTTCCCTATAAAGTTCAAGCACTGGCACGATGGGAGTGGGAGGGGAGTGAGGAGAGAAATTTGATGCAGTTTGAACTGAAGATAAACCCACCTAATTGCTCTTTCTGAAACGATACACAAACCAAAAAACAGCCCTCCTCCCAAAATTCACACTTTTCTGAATTTTGCAACGCAGTTCTCCAGCTGAGTGTGTGTGTACCAAAATGTATACAGTAGGGCAAAGTATGCGTAAAATGCATATACGGGTAAAAGCAACACCTAAGAAAGGATTGCATCGTATTAGGGAAAATTGCTTTGCAAACATGTGTATCTGGGCAAATGAGCTGATAGGTCTTCATGGGGTCTTTAAAAGAAAATGACAGTGTGGTGCAGAAAAGTATAGGAGCGAAGTTAAGATTGGGAAAATGAAAAACGGAGAGAAACCAAAACTGACAGAGGGGTCCATCCCACAGCCCTCCTACACAGTTACAAGGAATTAGGTAAATAAAGGAGAAACAGACACACATTGCTAAACTACGTGTTTACTTAGCTGCATGTTACACTGCAACATCTGGAGGAGGCTAGCCATGCTAGTCTGTTGCGGTGTGAGCAAGGGAGAGCCTCATAGCACCTTAAAGGGAACAAATTGTTGCAGCATCTGTTTTGGTGCACCAGAAACAAAAATAACATGCCACCACTTAGCTTCAGACTCTAGGCATGGTTAAGGGTGTGATGTGGTATCAAACTTTTTTATTTTAATGCAACAAAGATTGTGGATGGAAAACCGACTCTTTGGCAAGGGCTAACTTACCATGGATCTGTTTGCAACTTGGTGAGATGGTCACTTGGAACATCTTGTCACACAGCTAGGAGATTGTTCCTCATATCCTTAGACCAAGGGCCAATTCTTCACTGGGCATGATGCTGCAGATGATCAGCTGCAGGGCAAAGAGCTCTCTATGCCACCCCAATACCCCAATGCCACCTCTATGGCACAGCTAATGCTGGACCCCCCTGCTCCTGCCAACCTAGCAGTTTGAAAGCATGTCAAAGTGTAAGCAGATAAATAGGTACCGCTGCGGCGGGAAGGTAAACAGCGTTTCCGTGCGCTGCTCTGGTTCGCTAGAAGCGGCTTAGTCATGCTGACCACATGACCCGGAAGCTGTATGCTGGCTCCCTCGGCCAGTAAAGCGAGATGAGTGCCGCAACCCCAGAGTCGGCCACGACTGGACCTAATGGTCAGGGGTCCCTTTGCCTTTTAATGCTGGATCTAATCTCAGTGCTCTGTGTTTCAAGAACTGGGATCCACCTTTATCTTCCTTCCTTCCTCTTTTACTGCATGCATTGAAAGAATCGTAGAATTGTAGAGTCAGAAGGGACCCTGAGGATCATCTAGTCCAAGCCCCTGCAATACAGAGATATGCAACTCTCCCATACAAGGTCGAACCTGCAATCTTGGCGTTAGCAGCACTATGCTCTAGCAGACTGAGCTAGCCATCTGATCTTTCTCTTGGGGCATGTTTTATTTTCCTTTCCCTTTCTTCCTTATTCTCTCCTCCTCCTCCTTCTCCTCTCCCCTCCTCCTCCTCCTATCTTTTAAAACAATCTGCACAAAATTACCAGAGAGCGATAAAGAGTATGGCAGAAAGCCACTGGTGTGACCCAGCTTAAATGAGGATGTGATCCAGGATACGGCTCGTGTCAAAGGGCGCATTTCCCTTCTTTGTACATTGCCCCCAAGGAAGGAGTTATGCAAATGCTCATCATAAGCGAGTTCTCCATAACTGTGTGCCCAGGGACCGTGAACCCCTCCCCATCGGGCCATATCAGTAAAACAAGGACTACCAGGAAACATTCCGTGAGGTTCAATTAGGCCACAGCTTTGTTGATTACAAGTGTAACTGAGTTTTAGCTTGGCAATGAGCTGCCGCCATCTCCTCCAGTCAGCCTGCTGGAGGGATTCTGGGGATCAAGCCTGATTTGGGGTCGACCCATGACATACATCAAATAAATGCAACCCGCAAAGACTTGCGGCATTGGGGAGTGCTGTGGCTCTTAGCCTGGATGTATGGACAGAAGCTCCTCCTTGTGGATCTCTTTATTGGGATACCCCAACGCCAAGGAGTGGGGAGCAGAGGCTCATAATCTCCTCTCCACCACCAAAGAATAGGCTACTTTCATCTGATCTTTCTCTAGGGTATATTTCATTTACCTTTCTCTAACCCACATTCACTTTCTTTCTTAATTCTCTCCTTCTACCCTTCTAGTTCCATGCTGCTGCTGTTGTTGCTGCTGCTGCTGCTCCCTCCTCCCTTCTCCTCTTCTCTTTTTCCTTTTAAAACAATGCAAAATGAAATGACTGAAAGGCAGGGAGAGAAAGAGAGAGAGAGAGAATGGCAGAAAGCCACTGATGTGACCCATCTTAGAACAGGATGCGGTCCAGGATATGGCTCAGTGTCCGTTCCCCCTCTTTGTAACTCACCTCTGAGCAATGTGTTGTGCAACTGCTCATTGTAAGTGAGCTCTCCGAATTTCTCAACAGAAATATCTGTACATGCACCCAATAGACATTCAGAATACCACAACACACACGTAACTGGCTGTAAAGTAACATAACATTATATATAATGAAACTGTATACTCATCATATCAAAAAATTGCAAAGCACTGTTCCTGATGGCAATAACATATCATATTACTTTTAATCTTCTATATGTTTTTATTGTCGTAAAGTCCAAGGATAGTCAAGTCCAAGGATTACAACGTACAGTTCCTGTTGGTTAATAGTGTGTGTGTGTTGACTCAATAGACATTCAAGCATTAATTCATGTTTAAAGTCCATATAAACCATTCATCATAATTCTAAATAATATTTCCTCCAATGCAACTTATCCATCATGCCTTTATGCGTTTGCAGCATTCTAATTAAAAATACTAATTAGATTATCTTCTTTAGCCCTAGCATTCTGTTCAAGTTTTACTAGCCCCTCAAAGATCCAGAAAAATATCCTGATCTGCCTTGTTATGCAATTCCCTTTTCACAAAACATTTGGGTGGCTTTTAAAGCACATTAAACACATTCATAGAGAAGGCTGTCAGCGATTACTAGCCACAATGGCTGATGTTCTACCTTGACTGTCAGATGAATTATGCCTCTGAATACCAGTTGCTGAGAATTGCAGGTAGACAGACAGCTGCTGTTGCATTCTTGTCCAATTTGCAGGCTTCCCACAGGCATCTGGTCAGACACTGTGAGCACAGGATACTGGGCTAGACATGCCCCTGCTATTACCATAGAACCTCTGGCTGCATATGCACCATACATTTTTTAAAAGCCCATTTAAAGCCCATTTCTCCATGAAGAATCCTGGGAACAGTAGCTTTCCCCTCCAACAGGGCTACAGTTCCCAGCCACTCTTAACAAACTACAGCTCCCAGGATTTTTGTGGGGTGGGTGTTTCAACAGGCCTGAACCAACTGCGACAAGGGATGAGGAGAGAGGGTCTTTAATCATGAGATACTTTAAGGGCAGGTCCCAGCCTGCCTGCTGGCGGTCACGAGAGCCTGATTTGCAAATTGCTTGTGGAGAAACCTCACCACTGGTCAGATCTGTGCTGGTGAAAACTCAGAGGACCATCCAAACTGATGTCTTGAGCCTCAATGTGAGCTTACAGCAGGCATAGGCAAACCTGGCCCTCCAGATGTTTTGAGACTACAATTCCCATCATCCCTGACCACTGCTCCTATTTGCTAGGGATGATGGGACTTGTAGTCCCAAAACATCTGGAGGGCCACGTTTGCCTATGCCTGTCTTACAGTCTTGCTCTGCTCTGCTAGGTTCTAGACTAAAACCACAAGGTTACTGGTAAGTGACTGATAGCCTCAAGCAACAAGATTCTTCGTTGGCTAACGCCAAGGCAGCTGTTTCTCAGCTTGCCACTTCTGCATGCTGGAGGTGTTCTCCAGTTGAATGGTTTCTCACTCGCTTCTCTCTCTTTCTCTGCAGACAAGAGAAGCCAACTTTGCTGGAAATGCCGCGTCCGCCAAGAGAAATTCCCGAATGGCACGCCTCTTCGGTCACATCGCTCTGGGGATTGGGCTGGGGTGCCTTGTCATATATATCATCATCGTAGTGGTTGTTTCTACCACAGCAGCCTACCTTCCACCGCAGAAGCCCTGATGATGCCCTCTGCAGCCTTCAGATCCCAAAAGACCTTCCCCCCACCCCAGCAGACAGGCAAGAGAAGTCCCCCTTTGACAATCGTCTTCCATAACAGGATACGCCACTGGCTAGATGGCATGTGTGTGTGCCCTCGCGTCACCTGACTTCCATAAAGTCAACTTGGTCACCTTCAATGGGGCACAGGGCTGCAGAGCACTGAATTTGAGCCAGCATCAGCTGACCTGAAAGTTCCACCTAGCAAGAGCTCTGCCGCAGCCCAAACACATTAAACGAGAAACATTGTCTGTGCTCCAGCTCTACAACACGCAAGCATCACAAACAGAAACAACAGAAGAGGGACAGGCAAATGGATTTGGGCGCTGAGGATCTGAAACAGTGTCCAGCCTGAAGGCTTGGGAAATGTCTGCATCAATTGCATTTCTCTTGCCAATGTTAAAGTAGAATTACCTGTTTAGACCATATCCCGTCCAGAGCCCAGATGTACCTCTCCTCCATCTGACACCTCTGGTCCAGGTTTCTTCCCTGGGCCTTTAGTGTAGTGACATTTGAAACACCCATCCATTATATATCTGCCTTTGAGAGGTCTTTATTAACTTTCCAGTGCACTGTTGAATGCCTTTCTTTTATCCCTGCCTGTGTCTGTATTCGGTTCAAAATTGTCTTTTATGAATGAACAAGCTAATAATCTATGTTTACTTGTGGGGTTGCTTTATCCCGTATATGCCAACTCAACCATTTTGATCTGTGGAACTGGCACTGTTACAAGGGCTACATAATGTTCCCTTTGCTTCTGTAAGGAATCAATATTTTAGTGTGGCAATGCTCACACTTTGGAACTCCCGACCTATTGACACCAGGCAGGTGCCTTCCCTGTATTCTTTTTTGGTGCCCACTAAAAACATTTTTATTTAGGCAAGCCTATATAGACATGTAGAAGGTTGGGTTGTGTTTTAATCAGCTTTCAAGCTTATCGTTGATTCAATTATTTTTTAATGTTTTAAACAGCTGTTAACAGGGGGCTCACTTCTTATTCTTTTCTCTTTTTTACACCGCTTTGAGGGTTGTCTGTTTGCTATGTGCTCCGGCAGGATGTAAATTTTGTGAAATGAAAAAAAATAAGGAATAATCAGTTGGCACAAACTGCTCTTTAAACCACGGCATAAGGTGGTCCCCCCGTAGCCCCAGACCACGTTTTGTGCAGTTAACTAATTGTGTATATCATATAATATTGCTTAATCCAGGAAAGAAGATGATTTTCAGTGTTAGTGAAGAGAAGCTATCAGTTTCATTAAAAATATTTGAAATACCTCCTGCCTCCAGATGATATTGTATTTACTTCAACCGAGCAAACTGTCTGCTATTGTGATCAGTGGGGCGAGTCTACATATTGCAGAGACCTGGGGAGGGACAACACATTTGTCTTTGCACAGCATATTTGTTCCCCACCCCCAAATTTTCCCTGTTAGTGGGGAACAGGCCACTACCATCAACACTAATGGGCAGATTCCCCCACCACCACTACAACGTTTTCCATGAGTCCCGAGACATCGCCAGGCTCAGGAATGGAGTGGCAAGCTCAGAAGAATGAGGAGCGGGAACAGGAGGATGACCTGGGACCAGCGCTGTGGGGTTGCCAAGCCAGGGACGTTCCAGACTCTGAGATTTCACAGCCCAAAGCTGAGACCTGGAGGGCGGGCCCTGGAGATGTCACAGAGGTGGACCCTAGTGATGTCATTAAACATGACACATTAAGTGAAATATACTCGGAGTCAAGTGTGGATTTCATGCTCTTTATTCAGCTCATAGTAGTGAGGAATGGAAGTTCCCCCGAAATGTCTGCTTTATATACATTATTTACACAATGGTCCCCACGTGATTGGCTAATTCTGGGATTCTCCTGTAGGCCAATCAGGTTGCGGATTCACTTCCACCTGGAGTTGGATTGGGTGGCTCCTGCGGACCAATCAGACTGCTGCATTCTGGATCCTATTGTTCTAGGACCAATCAGACTGCTGCATTTTGGCTCCTATTCAACTCAGTACATAACATTAAGACACAGAACAGCATCTGAAAAGGAAGAGCAGAGCCCCTTGAAACCAATACTAGTGAACTGCCAGCATTAAGGACGCAACTGCCAATCAGTACAGTATGCATTTAATTTCCTCCTGATCTCACTGTCTATACACAATCTCACTAGGGCTGGAAGAACCACAGTCAGAAGAGGAGGGGCACAGCCTAGTCGCCCAGGACCCATTGGTGCACCAATGCAATGACTCATCTGTCTTGCAAGGCACAAGAGTCACACAAGTAGGCTCGCCTTGTCCTGTCTTCAAAAGCTTGGCAGGTGGGTGTGTCAACCCATTGGGATTATTCCATTGCTTCTGCACAGTTCTGAACTCCTTGCCCTGATCTTGGGCTCTGTAAGCTGAAATCACAGCTTCTAACCTGGCTAATCTCACCTTTCCTGTCACCTAGCCTGAGCGTAAAGGCTGCCTAGACTCACCACCATTGACCTCTATGTCAATAAATATCTCTTCCTTACTCTTGCCTCTGTTGTCATAGTCCAAGCGGGAGTCAGGACAATGTTATACCCAAGTGTCACCTCTTTCATTTTTTAAACATTGCAGTCGGAGTGAATGAAAGCCATCTATCTCTATCAGGAGTGCGCAACTTGTGGCTACTCAGTTGTTGCTGGACTACAGATCCCATCATTCCTGGCCACTGGCTCTGCTGGCTGGGGATGATGGGAATTGGAGGACCAAATATTCCCCACCGCAGGCTGGATCCATGCTAGCAGACGACCAGCCAGCAGCCACAGCTGAGAAGTGCATGTTGTCTCCACTACTGCAACATTATCCCAAATGCCACTGATGATAATGATTCCCTGCTGGAGGAGTTCATAGCTTCTGTCTACCCCTCCTTGCTTATGGGTATCTCATTAAAGGAATCCATGAGGAGTTGCTTCTGTCCGACTCCTAGACAGAGGCCAGGGCCATAGAACTCCTCCAGGGGACCCCTTGGGGGGGAGTGGTGTTCCCCTATTTTATGTAGGTCATAGGCCTCCCCCATGTTGTGGTTACCCCTTAGATACACTCCCAGCAGATGGGCTGGAAATAATTAAATGGCTTTACCCAATAACTTTGCCAAAACTTTCACAACTGTATCAAATAGTTGTGGCCTATTTCAGCCCCCAAAACCCCCTTTCTTCTGCTGTCTTGCCTGCTTATTTCATCACATAGGGAGTGACTGGGTCATGGGGCTTTGGCATCCAACAGGAATCTTTGTTGGCCAACACAGAGGCGACTGTTTCTCAACTTCTCAAGAGGACCACCCACTTCTGCATGCACGCAATGCTTTGCATTTTTCCACTAATCCGTTGCTTCTCTCTTTTTCTGCACAGACACGCGAAGCAAATATCACTGGAAACAGCTTGGCTGCTCAATAAAGCTCTCAGTTGACACCCCTCTTGGCTGAAACAGCTCTCATGGTAGGGATTGGACTCCTAACTTTGTAGCTTTCCTTGCTCTTCCCCTTTGATCTTTGATCAGTGGCTGACATTTCCTGAAGATGCATTGCACAGCATTAATATCTGAAAAGATGGACAAGTTATCCTGGTTTGATGCCATGCCTTTTGAATCCTTCTGTTGGTACAGGCTGGTACACATTGCATGCTCACCCCATGATTTCTGTATCATCATCATCATCATCATCATCATCATCATCATCATTATCATCATGATCAATTAATTTATAGACCGCCCATCTGGCTGAGTTTCCCCAGCCACCCTGGGCTGCTTCCAACAAGACATTGTTGTTGTTTAGTCGTTTAGTCGTGTCCGACTCTTCGTGACCCCATGGACCAGAGCACACCAGGCACTCCTGTCTTCCACCGCCTCCCGCAGTTTGGTCAGGCTCATGTTTGTAGCTTCGAGAACACTATCCAACCATCTCATCCTCTGTCGTCCCCTTCTCCTTGTGCCCTCCATCTTTCCCAACATTAGGGTCTTTTCCAGGGAGTCTTCTCTTCTCATGAGGTGGCCAAAGTATTGGAGCCTCAACTTCACGATCTGTCCTTCCAGTGAGCACTCAGAGCTGATTTCCTTAAGAATGGATGCGTTTGATCTTCTTGCAGTCCATGGGACTCTCAAGAGTCTCCTCCAGCACCATAATTCAAAAGCATCAATTCTTCGGCGATCAGCCTTCTTTATGGTCCAGCTCTCACTTCCATACATCACTACTGGGAAAACCATGGCTTTAACTATACGGACCTTTGTTGGTAAGGTGATGTCTCTACTTTTTAAGATGTTGTCTAGATTTGCCATCGCCTTTCTCCCAAGGAGCCGGCGTCTTTTAATTTCGTGACTGCTGTCACCATCTGCAGTGATCATGGAGCCCAAGAAAATAAAATCTCTCACTGCCTCCATTTCTTCCCCTTCTATTTGCCAGGAGGTGATGGGACCAGTGGCCATGATCTTCGTTTTTTTGATGTTGAGCTTCAGACCATATTTTGCGCTCTCCTCTTTCACCCTCATTAAAAGGTTCTTTAATTCCTCCTCACTTTCTGCCATCAAGGTTGTGTCATCTGCATATCTGAGGTTGTTGATATTTCTTCCGGCAATCTTAATTCCGGCTTGGGATTCATCCAGCCCAGCCTTTCGCATGATGAATTCTGCATATAAGTTAAATAAGCAGGGGGACAATATACAGCCTTGTCGTACTCCTTTCCCAATTTTGAACCAATCAGTTGTTCCATATCCAGTTCTAACTGTAGCTTCTTGTCCCACATAGAGATTTCTCAGGAGACAGATGAGGTGATCAGGCACTCCCATTTCTTTAAGAACTTGCCATAGTTTGCTGTGGTCGACACAGTCAAAGGCTTTTGCATAGTCAATGAAGCAGAAGTAGATGTCTTTCTGGAACTCTCTAGCTTTCTCCATAATCCAGCGCATGTTTGCAATTTGGTCTCTGGTTCCTCTGCCTCTTCTAAATCCAGCTTGCACTTCTGGGAGTTCTCGGTCCACATACTGCTTAAGCCTGCCTTGTAGAATTTTAAGCATAACCTTGCTAGCGTGTGAAATGAGTGCAATTGTGCGGTAGTTGGAGCATTCTTTGGCACTTCCCTTCTTTGGGATTGGGATGTAGACTGATCTTCTCCAATCTTCTGGCCACTGCTGAGTTTTCCAAATTTGCTGGCATATTGAGTGTAGCACCTTAACAGCATCATCTTTTAAAATTTTAAATAATTCAGCTGGAATATCATCACTTCTACTGGCCTTGTTATTAGCGATGCTTTCTAAGGCCCATTTGACTTCACTTTCCAGGATTGGCTCAAGGTCAGCAACCACACTACCTGGGATATATGAGACATCAATTTCTTTCTGGTATAGTTCCTCTGTGTATTCTTGCCACCTCTTCTTGATGTCTTCTGCTTCTGTTAGGTCCTTTCCACTTTTGTCTTTTATTATGGAAATCTTTGTACAAAATGTTCCTTTCATATCTCCAATTTTCTTGAACAGATCTCTGGTTTTTCCCATTCTATTGTTTTCCTCTATTTCTTTGCATTGCTCGTTTAAGAAGGCCTTCTTGTCTCTCCTTGCTATTTTTTGGAAATCTGCATTCAATTTCCTGTATCTTTCACTATCTCCCTCGCATTTTGCTTGCCTTCTCTCCCCCGCTATTTGTAAGGCCTCGTTGGACAGCCACTTTGCTTTCTTGCATTTCCTTTTCATTGGGATGGTTTTAGTTGCTGCCTCTTGTATAATGTTACGAGCCTCCATCCATAGTTCTTCAGGCACTCTGTCCACCAAATCTAAATCCTTAAACCTGTTCCTCACTTCCACTGTGTATTCATAAGGGATTTGACTTAGATTGTATCTTACCGGGCCAGTGGTTTTTCCTACTTTCTTCAGTTTAAGCTTGAATTTTGCTATAAGAAGCTGATGATCTGAGCCACAGTCAGCTCCAGGTCTTGTTTTTGCTGACTGTATAGAGCTTCTCCATCTTTGGCTGCAGAGAATATAATCAATCTGATTTCGATGCTGCCCATCTGGTGATGTCCATGTGTAGAGTCGTCTCTTGTGTTGTTGGAAAAGTGTGTTTGTGATGACCAGCTTGTTCTCTTGACAGAACTCTATTAGCCTTTGCCCTGCTTCGTTTTGAACTCCAAGGCCAAACTTGCCAGTTGTTCCTTTTATCTCTTGACTCCCTACTTTAGCATTCCAATCCCCTATAATGAGAAGAACATCCTTCTTTGGTGTCACTTCTATAAGGTCTTGTAAGTCTTCATAGAATTGGTCAATTTCAGTTT